AGGGGCCCCGGAGCTCGCGGCGCCCACTCACCGCTGCTGGTGAAGTAGAACACCATGGTCGCGGCGGCGCGGCGACTCCAGCGTGGAGCAGCACCACCCAGTTCTCGAAGCTCCGGATACCAGACGCCGAGGCCGCCGGTTCCCTGGAGCCTCTGCGCGCACTTCCGGCGGACGTTGGGTCGCGTCATAACGCAGGCTCGGGGCGCCATTTTTGATGCTGGCGCGGAGGAGAGCGTTGGGCGGGGCTGGGGTGCTTCCGGGCCCAGAGGATGGTGCCAGGGCAACTGGTGGTTGGGAAATATAGCGGGAAACGACATCTTTTATTTTTCTTCTTCTTCTTCTTTTAAATTGAATGTATTGGGGCAACGCTGGTTAATAAAATTATATGGGTTTCAGGTGTATAATTGTATAATATACATCATCTGTATATTGTACTGTCTTCTTTTAAATTGAATGTATTGGGGCAACGCTGGTTAATAAAATTATATGGGTTTCAGGTGTATAAATGTATAATATACATCGTCTGTATATTGTACTGTGTGCGCACCATCTCAAGTCAAGTCTCCATCACTGTTTATCCCCCCGTATCCTCTTTTACCGACCCCCAACCTTCTTGAAATGCCACCATCTTAAAAGAAAAATGTCATTAGCTGACTTTATTTTCAGAGCCTTCATCCAGTGGTCGGTTAAGTCCTGAGGCTTATCAATTAGTTTTATCTGCTTCCCCACCCCCACCCCCGGACCCCACGTGGGCTCCAAGAGGAGCAGAAACTGTTTCCTTCTTCACAGCTGGGCGTTCACTCCACCAATCGCGGTACTTGACACTTCCTTAGTTCATTAAGTTTTGAATGAACCCAAATTCCTCCACTATTGTCATTCTAGCTCCACCACTTGTAAGGCACACCTTCGGATATATTCTGTGCTTCACTTACTTCACCTGCAAAATGTAGATGATATAGATAGTGGAGCAGCTAATTCATAGATTATTTCTCTAGGGTTAAATACGTTCATGGGAGGAAAGGGTTAGAATATATCACTCAAGTGAGTTGTTAATATTCCCCATAGGCAATATGCCTCTTGGATTGGGACTATGACTGTTCTGCCTTTAAGATCCACCAACTTCCCAAGTTGGTTTGACTTGGTGGATAGAGTATTGGCCTGCAGACTGAAGGGTCCCGGGTTCGATTCCCAGTTAGGGCACATGCCAGGGTTGCCAACTTGATGTGCAGGAGGCTGCCAATCAATGATTCTCTCTCATCAATGATGTTTATATCTCTCTGGCCCTTCCTCTCTGAAATCAATAAAAATATATATTTTTTTAAAATTGACCAACTGTTACCTGTAAGATGGGGCAAATTCCAAACCTGTGAACCTCAGATCACTTCCTGCTATAAATTGGTAATGATTTTACTCCGGTAAAGCTATTACTCTTATTTCATTCTTAAGTTAAATTTATTTAGAACTGAAAATGTTCCAGAGACAGTACCAGGAGCTGGTAACACAAAGATTAAAGTAATAGCTAACAACTAATGACTGTGTTAGGAACATTTGAGCTCCCCAAAGCAAGAACCTAGTTATATCCTATAAATAGTAATTGTTTTCAGGTCCTCTGTAAAATGGGAATGATAATACATATCTCATAGATTGTGATGTGGAGTAAATAAAACACGTAAAGCGTGCAAGAATGTCTGGCACATACCAGATATTAGTGCCATGATTTAATTTTTTAAATTTAACCTGAAAAGTAAAAAAAAAATTGCTAGAAACCTAACGTATTACTAATAAAAAAAATTTAACTAACGCTAAGGCTTCAAATTTGAAATATAAGTGCCTCGAGAATAAGGAAAAGGCTACTTCACAAAAACAACACCAAGGATGTTGAAAGGGCGCCTTTATTTTACGGAAAAACTACAATTCCCAGAATGCACCTAAACAAGTCCTGAGGCGTAGGACCCGGCGTGGCCGAAAGGGATTGTGGGTGGCTTTCGGGGAGAGGCTTTCGCCTCCCAAGGGCGGGAGAATCTTGGAGACCGCCTTTAGGTGGGTGGGGCAATAACTAGAGTACGACCAATCACCGAGTCAGCTTCTGGAAACTCCGAGAAGCGGCGAATCAGAACGCAGCAGCTTCAGCCTTGCCTGGCGCGGGACAATTTGAATACAGTGGCGGAGCATCTGGCTCGGCTGAGGAGAGCTCGGCAGCCCTGAGGTGCAGGTAATTGCCGCGGAGGGCTGCGGCTGGGGTGGGACGCGGAGGACTGGAGATTCTATAGAACGTGGTGGGGCTGAATGTCAAGGAGTCAAAGAACTTTTCCTCTGTGCTTGGCGCGTCGCGGCTCGAGAGCGAAGCCACCAACCGGTTCGCCACACTTCCAGGTCACCGGGTTTCCGCCTTCCCCTACGCCGGAGTTTTCTTGTCTTTTTGCCCCGAAAGGCATTCTTTTCCTCATTCAGTCTTACAGGGGTCTTCCCTTAAGCCGCAGCTAGACATTAGTTCCCAGAGGCCCTGGTCTTTCTGTTTAACTTTGAAATCACGCTTGTGTCATTTTTAAAAATATACCTGCTCCGAAAGAAGGGCAAGAGGAAACTTTCGCTGAGCAACATGCCATCTGCTCGAGAGTTAAGTTGCATGATTGCTTATTTTCAGCTGCCTTAGAAGGTCAGGGTGTTTTATAAAAGGAAACTGGCGGCCCTAGCCGGCTTGCTCACTCACTGTTGAGAGCGTCGGCCTGCGTGCTGCACGGGCTCAGGTCTCGGGTTCTGTTCCCGTCAAGGGCATGCACGTTGGTTGCTGGCTCGTGCCCTCCCGTGGGGGCGTGTTGGGGAGGCAGCCAGGCGATGTGTCTCTCACTTGGATGTTTCTCTCTGTCTCCCCACCTCCCTTTCATTTTAATGATAAAAAAATATATCCTCGGGTGGGGATTAACAACAACAAATAAAATGGTGACAAGAATAAAATGAAAAGGGAACAAGCGGCTTGGTCAGGGATCCTCGGCTGGTAAAATAGGAGAGGATTATGCTTTCCCCGTTGTCTTGCTGGACTCGGATGCAAATGGGAAACGAGTCCGTGGGTGTACAGGCTATTGAGAAACAGTTACATCAACAAGGAGACGTGTTAGATGGAATGTAAAAGAAGCATCGATGCGATGGAAGCATAGGGCAGCATCTGCTGGTAACAGTGGCAGGGGCGGGGTGAGGGCAACGGCAGGAAGGCGGTCCAGATGAAAAGTGTTTACACTCGGTATGAGTTCATCAGGCTAATTAAAAGAGAATGTGCCCTGAAATGGGGTAAAAAAATACTTCCTGGTAGGGTCATTTCCCTGCTTGTATTTCCTGTTCGAATTGCTACTGTGATGTAGTGTTTTTCCTTTTCTTTTTTATGTATTTTAAATCTTTATTAAAGTGATTTGCTTTAAAAATAATCCTTTTCTTGGATCTCTGAACCATTACCCATCTGAAAGTTTTTTCAGACTTCTAAGATAGAATTTCGGTATACTGGTTTTTATGCACATTGGATGAGTTTGATAATTATAATTGTCTTGTTGCTTTTAGGGGTTCAGGTAAGAAGATGTCAGCTTTTACTCCAAGGAAAAGGAAGCAGAATTCTTTGAACTGTGACAGGTGAGTCTCATCCTATGGGTAGAAATTCAGAAAAGAATTCACCTTTGGGCTTTCTTACCTTCTCTTAAAATTTCCATCCTTTCACTGGCCTACTCCTTGTGGCTATAGTAATATTTTATATTCTAATTCTAGTCTGGAAATACTGTAAGCTTTTATAATTAACTAGAGCTCCGGTGCACAAAGTTCGGCACTCGAGGAGTCCCTCAGCCTGGCCTGTGCCCTCTTGCAGTCAGGAGCCCTCGGGGGATGTCCAACTACCGGCTTAGGCCTGCTCTCTTCGGGGAGTGGGCTTCAGCCAGCAGTCAGACATCCTTAGCACTGCCACGGAGGTGGGAGTCTCCCGCCACTGCCGCTGCACTTGCCAGCTGTGAGCCTGGCTCAGGGCTTCTGGCTGAGCGGTGCTCTCCCTGTGGGAACGCACTGACCACCAGGGAGCAGTTCCTGCATTGAGCATCTGCCCCCTGGTGGTCTGCGTGTCATAGCGACCGGTCATCCCACTGTTCGGTCGATTTGCATATTAGCCTTTTATTGTATAGGATTATTTAATGCTTTTGCCAAGGAATCAGAGAAAGAACTGTTTCTCTGTGGCTTTGAAATGTATGTCAAATCTTTCATTATCTTGCTCCTTTCTACTCTCTTATGTAATACTTAACATAGCGTTTTGCATACAATAGATACTTGTTTATAAGCAATCCTACTTAGTACTTACTACATGTCATACCATATATAAATTACTCCCCACAGAACAGGCCCTAATTACATAGAATTAATCATTTTAGGGCACTTGTAGCCACTCAAGCAAAGTATATGGGCTATAATTTGTATATGGCCAGGACTTTGAAAAAGGTTTTAAAACACTCACTTATCTCAAAGCTTCTTTGTAAACTGTTTTCACAAACACTGTCTTTTGAAAAATATTTGAATGCTTTGTTTGGTAAAAACAATTTGAGAATCCTACTGTTAAAACTAATAAATAATGTGTGTGAATGGATGTTTGGTGGAGAGGGTGTATTGTTTTGTAGTGTGACCATTGGGTAGAATTGTTTATTACTTAGCGGTAGATTGGCATAAAAAATTGAAGCAAAATAACAGTTCTTATCAATGGACTTTGTTTTTTTTTCATAGCCTATTATCTGACATTCCATCAAAGAAATTAATTTTGGATTTTACTGAAAATATATTTTCATCACCTAATAAAAAATACATTTGCCAAAGTAATGAAGAAAATGTGCATTGCTCTCAACAAGGCCATTTCACTTCAAGTCTGCTCAAAACAACTAAAAAAGATAGATTACCATCAGCAAATCAAGGTTCACCTTTTAAATCTTGTGTGTCTACTGTATCCTTTTACAACAAAAATACTAGTAAGTGTTACCTCAATCCATTGGAGAGAAAGATGATAAAAGAGAGTAGATCCATTTGTCTAAAAACTAATAATGAAGATACATCTTTTCCCAGTGTGACAGAAAAAAAGCAAGAAAAACCAATCTGCTCCAAGAAGATGAAGAAAAAACCACAGAAGAGTTTAACTGCTAAGTGTCAACCAAGTTATAAGTGCAACAAGCCTGTATCAAAGAATTCTAAAAATTCCAAGCAAAATCGAGTGGCCTACAAACCAATTGTAGAGAAAGAGAATAGTTGTTATTCAGCTGAAAATAATTTAAATGCTCCTCGAGTTCTAAGCCAAAAAGTCAAACCACAAGTAACACTCCAGGGTGGAGCAGCATTTTTTGTTAGGAAAAAATCCTCTCTTAGAAAATTGTCTCTGGAAAACAAGCCATTACTGGGACTCAACCAAGAGAATAAATCAGAAGTGATTAAAGATTCTGATGTAGAGACTGTCAATGAAAGAAAAAGTTTTGAGACAAGGCAAGTGCCAAAGTGCTTGTTGCTAGAAAAGGAACTGAACATTGAGCTGCTGGGTATAAGAAATAAAAATGAAGAGAAATTAATAAAGGTAAAGAAAGCTAAACATTTTAAAAACTAACAAAACTATATACATATAACAAAACTTCAGTATACATTCTATATATGTAACATAATTGAACAAAATGTTATTTTCTTTGCAGTCTGGAGGACTGCTTTTATGAAACCAAATAGTATAGTTTAATCACTAAAGAATTTAGAGGCAGGATGGAAAGATAGGACCTTTCTCCCTTTTTGGCTTAAGGAAGCCTACCAACATTTCCTTGGCATTAAGGTATACATTTTATTAAATTTCCTCATGATGAAACTAAAGTCCAGAGAAGCTTAACATCTTTTATTTGATAGTGTTTTTAGAAAGTAGAAATAACAAAATTCATGTAGTAGGTTTCTAGAGTGTGAGCATATGGTTTTTTTAGTTTATTATTTAAAGTACTAGATTCTAGAAAATTTAGAGATCACAGAAGATGATCTCTTGGAGATGGTCACTGTTAACATACAGCTAGTTGGATTTTTGTTTATTTTATGTAGTATGTTTTCATGGATGCCATTCTATGCTTTTTGATCTTGCTCATAAATTTAACACTGCTAGCCCAGACTAGTGTTGTCTGATAGAAATAGAATACCAGCTGCATGTAATTTAAAATTTTTTATGGCCACATTAAAAAGTTTTTTTAAAAAATGTTTAGCCTAATATATATAGGTATGTGTATATATATATATTTTTAATATATTTTTATTGATTTATATATAGGTATGTGTATATATATTTTTTTAAAATATATTTTTATTGATTTTAGAGAGGAAGGGAGAGGAAGAAAGGGATAGAAACATTAATGATGAGAATCATTGATTGGCTGCCTCCTGCACACCCACTTTTGGGGATCAAGCCCGCAACCCAGGCACCCTGATCTGGTTCATAGGTCGACGCTCAACCACTGAGCCACAACAGCCAGGCCAAAAACCTATATCTTGATGGGGGTTTTGAGTTTAAGTTACATAGGTATATAAGTTTATCAAAACTCATCAAACTGTATACTTTATATCTGTGCACTTCACTGTATATAAACTGCCTAAATTTTTAAAAATTGGGGGGGCCGTTCAAACTAAAATTAATTCTCAATCCAGCAAAACAGTGGAGCACCCAGTCATCTCCTAGTTAGTATTCTCTATATCTGTTTGGTAGAGTGACATGACAAATTCTCTGAATGCTCTTTTCTGCTTTATTTTCTGAGCATCATTTTAAGGGGCTGGATATTGGATTCTGTCTAGTTGTCATCAGTCTGAGAAGCTGCACTTTTATGCATCTTAAATTTGTGGAACTAGGCTCTCCTCTCTTAGGATTTTGCTAAATACCCACTACTAGTATTCATTTCTACTAGCTAGGGGTGAATACTGCTTTACTTATTGGGTTAAAACCTTTCCCCAACTCATTATGGAGCCCTACAAAATGGCAAATTGGTGGATTGTCCCATCTCTACTGTGATATTATGGTCTTGTAAAGCAGTTCTACTTCAAGCAAAAGTTTTTTTCCTTTTCCCCAAAGTATATATTTTCTAAGTCTCACCAAACTATAGTGTTAGTAAAATTTGTCAGAATTTTTTTCTAATTTGCTTTTTCCACTTACCAGCTCCTGCCCAAAAAGTGGAGTTAGAAGCCTCCCCAACTACTCCAGAATGTTCTTTTTCTTTCTTTTGCTGCCTGTTTTTAAACCTTATGACAAAAGGTCCCTTTCCAGTTTGGTGGCTACTGGGGAAATTTGCCATTTTCACTAATTTTTTTGTTGTTGTTCAATTACAGAAAGGATGTTCAATAAGCTTAAGTCTGCCATCTTTATCAGAATTATAATACATTTTTTGATAGGATGACAAATTACAGACTTGTCTTTTAACTATTTTTTAAAAAATTGATTTTAGAGAGAGAGAGGGAGGGAGAGAAACATCATTGAGAGAGAAAATATCAATTGGCTACCTCCTGCATGCCCCCAACCTGGGCATGTGCTCTGACTGGGAATCCAGCTGGCAACCTCTCAGTGCATGGAATGATGCTCAACTAACTGAGCCACACCGGCCCAGGCCACACTGTCTTTTAAAAGGTTATGTAGCCCTGACCGGTTTGGCTCAGTGGATGGAGCGTCGGCCTGCGGACCGAGGGGTCCCGGGTTCGGTTCCGGTCAGGGGCATGTACCTTGGTTGCGGGCATGTCCCCAGTGGGGGGTGTGCAGGAGGCAGCTGATTGATGTTCCTCTCTCATCGATGTTTCTGGCTCTCTATCCCTCTCCCTTCCTTGCTGTAAAAAATCAATAAAACATAAAAAAAAATAAAAGGTTATGTACACTTAGTAAGTATACAGGAAATTCTCCTTAAAATAGGATGAAAATTGAGAATTTAAAATCATGTTATAAAGTAATTCATAATAAACTAGATATTTTGTTTTAGAAACAGATCTATTGGAATTCATTCACTAAGTGGAAAATGATTAAGAATTACAGGTTTTCTTAAATTTTACCTATTCATTAGCTCCAGGATTCATCAAGTGGAGTAGTTTCTTCAAGGGAGTATAAACCTGAAGAAAATAAGTGTTATTCTTCAGGAGATTCTCACAGTGAAAACAAGGCAGGTAAGAGAAAACGTCTCTTCTCAAAATGAGTTTCTTAACTAGTGATAATACTTCATTACATGTATCAATATAAAATCATATACAATAATGTTTTGTTTTTATATATATATATCAGTATGTGTGCCTGCGTTTGTATCTTTGTGTTTATTTTGGTGACACTATTTTGTGTGATAAGCAATGCAGTGCATTTTGTTTGGGGGTTTGTTTGTTGTTTTGTTTTCTAATGCAGTGCATTTTTAAAAGGAGGAGACAAGAAGGCCTTAAGACTGGAACTTAAGACAAAATATTGATGTTTAATTGTTCTATGGCAGGGGTGGGCAACCCCTGGCACGCGTGCCAAACATGGCATGCCAGTAACTTTTGCTGGCACGTGAAACCCTCTCTTATAATCTTCCATTTACAGTTTTTTTCTTAATATCGACTTTTTTATTTTTCAGATAAATTCAGTGTAGGTGCATCTTAGATAAATAAATAATTTTACATAACATGTATACATTAAAAAATAAATGTATTTTTCATCATCATATACTGTGTTTTTGTCGCTCGAATAAATTTTATTATTTCTTCAAGGTTCTTCACATACGTACACCTTAAGAGATATCAAGTAGGTGTAACATGTTCTCAAAAAATTAGGGTTGGCACGCAGAAGAATTTTGAGTCAGAGATTTTGCTGGTTTTGGCACGCACTCACAAAAAGGTTGCCCACCCCTGGTCTATGGGATGTGGCCCAGTTACTTTAAACACTCTAGAGCTAGGTGTTCTCATACCTACCCTACCTATCTTTTACCCTGTTAAATAATAGGAAAGACTAAAAACAATTTATGTTATAGATTTGATCAAAGCCCAGATATAAGTGGAATTTACTAAGCCATGGAAAGGACACTGAATCGAGCATCAGGAACCTTAAGATTTTATCTAGATCTGCCACTAATTAACTGTGTGATCTAGAGAAGAGATTTTTAAAGTAAGGGGTTAGTTGTAATTTGTAAATTTCTCTTCATTCTGAAATTCTGTTATTAACTTATGGTGTCATTGTTCAATTAAATAGTGTTTACTAAACTATGAATTTATACAGGTTAATTAACATTCTATTTACAGATTCTTGATAACTTTACTTCATTGGTTATATCTATAAATTTGGGGAATTAAATTCTAGGAGTAGACATACTGACTATATGGTGAGAAACTAACTCATAGGAAGAAAACAAAAAAAATATAAAAACTAAAAGCATAATCTGGAACAATAACCCTTATAAGGATCTAATTTCATTTATATATAAACTTTAGGCCCAGTGCACGGATTCTTGCACCGGTGGGGTCCCTCAGCCTGGCCTGTGGGGATTGGGCTGAAACCAGCTCTCCAACATCCCCTGAGGGATCCCGGATTATGAGAGGGCGCAGGCCAGGCGGCCGTCACGCCCAGTCCCGATCAGCTGGACCCCAGCAGCAAGCTAACCTACCAGTCGGAGTGTCTACCCCCTGTTGGTCAGTGTGCATCATAGCGACTGGTCGAATGGTGGAATGGTCAGACACTTAGCATATTAGGCTTTTATTATATAGGATATAATTTTATAAATACCTATTTCTATAAATATTTGTATATAATGATTGTTCCTAATGGTAATAGCTAATATTACTGGATGCTGAATATGTACCAGGTAGTGCTAAGTATTTAGTATGCACTATGTTTTATCAAGGTTGTGTTATCACTGATACAATGGAACATGTAACAGAAAAATAATGGCTTTCTATTTACAGTAGTTATAAAATTTTTTTGTGTTTATTTCCCATATATATCTTTATTGAACTGTCTATTCAGATCTTTTGCCCATTTTGAATTGGACTATTTTCTTATTGTTGAGTTGTAAGAGGTTTTTTTTTGTATTCTGGATACAAGTCCTCGATCAGAAATAGGATTTTCTCCCAGTCTGTGGCTTGTCCTTTCATTTTCTTAAATAATATTTTGCAGAGCAAAATGTTTAAATTTTATAAATTCCAACTTAATTTTTCTTTCATCTATTGTGTTTTTGTGTAAAAACTTAGCACTAAACCCAGGTTCATGCAGATTTTTCTCTTATGTTTTCTTCTAGAAGTTTTATAGTTTCACATTTTACACTTAAATATGTGATCCATTTTGAGCATGGGTATACTAGTACAGTGGGGCCTTGACTTACGAGTTTAATTCGTTCCAAGACCGAGCTCGTTAAGGATCTCATTAAGGAGCTCATTAACTCAAATTACTTGTCCAACTCAAAGCAAAAAATCGGCCGAGAGACAGCTGGTATCTCAAAAAACTCGTTAGTCAGGACACTCGTAAGTCAAGGCCCCACTGTATATGTAAGTATAGTCATTCTTTTGCATATGGATGTTCAATTGTTCCAGCATTTGTTGACGATCCTTTCTCCATTAAAGTACCTTTGTCTTTTTGTAAGAAATCAGTTGATTTTATTTGCATAGGTCTGTTTTTAGGCTCTCTATTTTGCTCCATTGATCTATTTGTCTATCTTTTTGCCAATATCATACTGTCTTGATTGCTCTTACATCTTAACTTTAAGTAATGTATTTTGGTTTTATAAGCCTTTAAAATCTTAAGATATAAAGCTTTGCGTTTATTTTGTAATACAAATCACCTGTGCTCTACCTACTCATCCCTCCTCCCTCTTTAGAGTTTGCCTGGGATCTGGATCTGCCCTGTGTGTGTATTCCCATTCAAATATCATGGGACATAGTATTAAGGGCCTAGCATAAAAATAGTATTTTAACTTATTTACCAGGTAAACTACTTTTTTTAAAACCATAGATATTTAAATGAAATTAAACTTAAGGAAGATGAACCATGTTTATCTTAAGACTTTATGACTCTGAGACACCCTCTAAGTTCCATAGTTTGAAACATATAGATCCAGGATCTATCATGCATGAGTGGCTGAGAAAGGCTGGGAAAATACAGGTAGGGGCTGGTACATTAAGGACATTTCTTGCTGTGTATAGGAGTTTGGATATTTTCCTCAGAGAGTCGCTGAAATGTTTTCAGCAGATCTTGTTTTAGAATGGACTTTGATGATGGAACAGGGACAGGATTAAAATGGGGAATAAATAATATGATAACTGACATTGAGGCTAGTGCAGTAGACTGGGTTCAAGATCTTGAGGACTTGAATTAAGCCAATGAAATAGAAAAGGACAGGAGAGAACAGGTTTTAAGTGTTATCAAAAGGATCAACTACCCTGTGACTAAAAGGATGTGAAAAGTGGGCAAGAGGGAGCTGCCAAAGATGATTCCAAATTTCCTAGTTTGAACACTTAGAGGAATAGTGTTCCTTCACTGATAACAAAGTTGGAGAATGCAGGAGATTTTTCACAACATAAATAGTGATGTCAAGCAAATTGAAATTCTTATCTTAAAAAAAAGTTTTTATATGCTTTAAAAATATATTTTAAAATACTATTACATTTCTTTTTTTATTTTTTTTTATTTTTTAAATCTTTATTGTTCAGATTACATTTGTTCCTCTTTTTTTTTTCCCCCATAACTCCCCTCCTCCCAGTTCCCACCCCACCCTCCGCCCTCACTCCCCACCCACTGTCCTCATCCATAGGTGCACGATTTTTGTCCAGTTTCTTCCCGCATCTCCCATTCCCCTTTCCCCGCCAAGAATAGTCAGTCCATTCCCTTTCTATGTCCCTGATTCATTATAATCACCAGTTCATTCTGTACATCAGATTATTTATTCACTTGATTCTTAGATTCACTTGTTGATAGATGCATGTTTGTTGTTCACAATTTGTATCTTTACCTTTTTCTTCTTCCTCTTCTTAAAGGATACCTTTCAGCATTTCGTATAATACTGGTTTAGTGGTGATGAACTCCTTTAGCTTTTCCTTATCTGTGAAGCTCTTTATCTGACCTTCAATTCTGAATGATAGCTTTGCTGGATAAAGTATTCTTGGTTGTAGGTTCTTGGTATTCAGCACTTTGAATATTTCTTGCCATTCCCTTCTGGCCTGCAAAGTTTCTGTTGAGAAATCAGCTGACAGTCGTATGGGTATTCCCTTGTAGGTAATTGAGTCTCTTTCTCTTGCTGCTTTTAAGATTCTCTCTTTGTCTTTTGCTCTTGGCATTTTAATTATGATGTGTCTTGGTGTGGTCCTCTTTGGATTCCTTTTGTTTGGGGTTCTCTGCGCTTCTTGGACCTGTAAGTCCATTTCTTTCACCAGGTGGGGGAAGTTTTCTGCCATTATTTCTTCAAATAGGTTTTCAATATCTTGCTGTCTCTCATCTTCTGGCACCCCAATTATTCTGATGTTTGTACGCTTGAAGCTGTCCCAGAGGCTCCTTACACTATCTTCGTATTTTCGGATTCTTTTTTCATTTTGCTTTTCCGGTTGGGTGTTTTTTGCTTCTTCGCATTTCAAATCTTTGGCTTGATTCTTGCGCTCCTCTGGTCTGCTATTGGGTGTCTGTATAATATTCTTTATTTCAGTCCGTGTATGCTTAATTTCTAGTTGGTTCTTTATCATAGCATCGAGGGTCTCATTAGTTTTCGTGACTCTCTCCTCAAGTTTATTGACAGCTTCTAGCACATTTTTGCAAGCCCTCAAAATTGCGATTTTTAGCTCTATATCCTCCATTTCTGTCATGTTTTTTTGTCTCCGCATTTTTTATGCTTTCTTGGTGCACCCCCTAGTGGTCTTTGTGCGCAGTCTTGTTCTAGTTGAGCCTTGATTGTTGTAGTTAATACTAGAGGGATTTGACCACCAGGCCGACTGGCTGTGTGAATCAGCTGTGTCTGCCGCGGAAAACTTCTGTCCTCTGGGGAGGTGCTAATCTAGCCTTTGCCTGAGGCTATCCGGCAAATGGCTCTGCGCAGGGCTTGGGCGGGGCGGGCTCAACAGGGCGGGCGGAGGGAGCCGTTATGGTGCCCTCAGTCCTGTTCCCAGAGGCTCTGCTTCTCAGAACCCCCGGAACCGCTGCAAACCTCGGAGGGAAAGCTGCCTTCCAACTGATGCCAGACACTCCCGCTTCTCCCGTTTGGGTCCGAGTCCCCAGCGATTCGCCCGTATCTGGAGCTCAGAGTCTGAGACTCCCCCCTGACCGAAAACGACAACCGCGCTCTCAGCCACCAGCCCGCTTTGCGCGCGCACCTCCGCACCTGAGTTTTTTCCACACTGCGCCTCCTCTGAGCCTCGGTGTGCTGTTATTTTTCCTTCTAGTTGAAGAGTCTCTCCTCAGCCAGCCTTCCTGTGGTTCTGGGTGATGTCCGTTCCGTCTTTTAGTTGTATTTTTGAAGTGGTTGTTTGCGGCAGCAGTCTCCGGTGTTTACCTATGCCGCCATCTTGGTCTCTCTCGTAAAATATAATTCTTACAATAGGTTTGTGAAGTCACTGTGAAAGCCATTCTAATACAATGATCACAAAACAGTTTGGCTTAGCTTAAAGCATTAGACATTTTTTTTCCCCAGTGTTTCCTTATCAGGTGTTTTTTCTGTCTGAATCTCTTGCTTTAGGCACTTGGTTTGTTTCCTTGCCTATTTTCTCTTACCTCTACTCTAAGGCAAGTGTTACCAACTCAAATGCCTGCAGAGCCAGCCAGGCTGGGTGGAGACTGGAGCCAAGTGGAGAATGCATGCCCATCTAAAAGAGCATGTGCTGTGTAGATTGATCTAGTAGGTTCTTTGAAGAAATAGAGGTCTAGAGAGCTTATAAGTGTCTCTTACAATGCTGGAAATATATATTTCCAAATGAAACCTCTAGATTTTTAAAATATTGGTAGCTCATCCAAAGCTTTCAACACCATGGGAGTCATTCAAAACATATCTGCTAGCTGACTTTAGCCTGTGGCGGGGGCTTCAATCTGCAACCTCTAACATTGTTTCCTAATGGGAAAAAGTTTCCTCAACATCTAGGAATTTGAGAACAAGTGCATGTATTAGCCTCAACCACTGCCCAAGTAAAAAGATGTTTATATGCTGATGGCTAACTTCCTGTGGACCTACCTGTAAGCTTTAATATTAGAGCGTACTTATTTGTGTGGTATTCCAGGAATTTCTATAGACCTTAAATATTCTAAGGCTTGATAAAGCAAACAAAAGATTATTTTTTACAAGTGAAATCAAGTTACTAAGGGATCCTGCATATGTACATCTGATACAATAGATGAAAGTTCCTTGTGTTTGTAGTTATAAGATGAGGATTTGAGTTCCCACCATTCTTTACTAGTTACTTTACCCTGAGTAAATTACCAATCCTCTCTGAGTGGTTCTGAGGTTTCTCATTGTTTCTGGTATTATTATTTTATCAAGTTATTGTCTATAAAAAGCACTAAAAATTGTCAGGTGCTCTGCAGATTAAATAATGTTTATCAACTTTCTATTTTAAGATCTCTAGTTGGAGAGCAGTCTTCTGTGGCATCCATCACACCTACTAACTTTTTGAAACAGACCAATACACAGAAAAGTATTAATGCCAGAGATGCAAACAAAGAAACGAAAAACCAGCTCATCATTGTGAGTAGATTCAAAACAAAGCCCCTCCTGTACGTATAGAACCTGTTGTCTTAGCATAGTTAATATGGGTTATAGATATTCTGAGTTTGTAAATGCCAGCTTTGTTGTAGTGGCAGCACTTAAAGCTAGTCAAGTATATTTTCAAATTGATAGTGTTGGGCGAAGCTAGTAATTTAGCAGAATGCTGATGAATGAGTTGTCTTCAGATTAGGAAGATTATTGTTGATGAGCAAAAGATTTAATGAAAATAGCTACATTGTATTAGACCTGGGTTTGGCAAATTGTGACCATGGGCCAAATCTGGACCATGGCCTTTGAGCTTAAAATGGCTTTTACATTTTTAAAAGGTTGGGGAAAGGAGAAGAATATGTGACAAGTCATGTGTGCTTTATAAAGCGTAAAATATTTACTATCTGGTTCTTTGCAAAAAAGTTTGCCAGCTCCTGTATTAGACTTTTCAGAACCTAGTATTTTCAGTAGCATTAAGCAAGGCTTTATTAGATAGAATGCAGATTCATTAATGAGCCATGACATTGAATATTCCTGACTTCCCTATATATTTGTTAATTTATCTGTGCTTTCCCTTAACTATTATGTATTATATTTATTTTTATCAACTCCTGGGGCAAAGGATTTTTATATTCCTAAACACGTAAGGAAAAAAATACATAATGAATATAGAAGTCCTAAAATTTTTGCCCTTCCTCTTTGAAATAAGGCTTTTAGGTCCCTATTTAAGAGCTTAATAAAGAAGTTTCCATTCATCTTAGCTATAAATTTTATGATTTAATCTTTTGCTTCTTAGAACTATGGATCTATCTAGCTAAAGAATCTTGAGTTTTTTTTAATTCTTTTTTTTTCTTTCGTTTGAATCTTGATTTTAAAAAATATATATATTTTTATTGATTTCAGAGAGGAAGGAAAAGGGAGGAAGAGAGAGAAACATCAATGATGAGAGAGAATCATTGATCATCTGCCTCCTGCACGCCCCGCACTGGTGTTCGAGCCTGCATTCCAGGCATGTACCCTGACCAGGAATCGAACCGTGATCTCCTGGTTCATAGGTTGATGCTCAACCACTGAGCCACGCCAGCCGGGAGATTTTTTTTTTTTCACACTGTCCATTCCAAGAGATAATTCCATTTCTTTTATTAATTTACTACAGCCCAGTGCACATATTTGTGCACCTTGAAAGGAACTGTGGGTGGTGAGGCTGTGGTGGGCACAGGGGCAGGTCTTGGCCCATCCTCTACGCCCTGGCCCGGCCCCTCCCACCACGGCCCCTGGTCCCGTCTGCCAGCAGCCCCCTCCGCTCACACCCTCTGACGGCACAGAGAGCTATTGGGGTCAGCGCCATCAGCGGGTGCAAGTGGCGGCTGCTGGCCCCGATTGCCCCTCAGGAGCAGGGGGTGGTGGAGAAGCCCTAAGGGGCAATCGGGGCCAGCAGCCGTTGTTTTTTATTCTGGGCCAGCTTTAGCTCTGAGGCCTCGCTGCTGAAAACATCGATACAATGTTGCGGTCTGGCTGGCTTTCAGTCCGGCTGGTTTCTGGGGTTTTGTTTAGCTTCTTATTTGCAACATAGTACATAGTTGCTTAGAGTTGCAGCTGAGAGGCCGGCAAGTGAGGCGGGGAACGTTGGAGTCTGCAGCAAGCAAGCCTTGTGCTCGCTTCAGTGCCTGGCTGCCGGCCGCCATCTTGGCTGACAGTTAATTTGAATATACTCACTGATTAGCCAATGAAAAGGGTAGCGGTCGTACGCTAATTACCATGTTTCTCTTTTATTAGTGTAGATAGATTGCATTTTAAGGTCTTTTTCATTTTGTTTGGTGCAAGTGAGGAGGATATTATAACCAAACTTTCACTTAATATTTCACTTGTGCTAGCATAAAAGAAAAATAAGGAAGAAATTGAATGAGTGATTACATGTATTAAACGTAGATCTATTTGTGATATATTTAGATGTGGCCTCCCCCTTCATTAACAGGACGCAGGTCAGAAACATTTTGGAGCCACCATGTGTAAGTCCTGTGGCATGATCTATACTGCCTCCAACCCTGAAGATGAACTGCAGCATGTTCAGCATCACCACAGATTTCTGGAGGGAATCAAATACACAGTAAGTCAAAAAATAGTCTTTCAATTTGTTCTAAAAGTGAAAGTGCCTTAAAAGATATATATATATTTTTTTGCTTAAATATTGAAACATCTGTATATCCATAAATATTTCATCATCAACTGCAGTTTTGTTGTTCTTAATATTTTAGGCTGACAGTATTTAAAAGTTAACACAGATTTCTGGAGGGAATCAAATACACAGTAAGTCAAAAAATAGTCTTTCAATTTGTTCTAAAAGTGAAAGTGCCTTAAAAGATATATATATATTTTTTTGCTTAAATATTGAAACATCTGTATATCCATAAATATTTCATCATCAACTGCAGTTTTGTTGTTCTTAATATTTGAGGCTGACAGTATTTAAAAGTTAACATTTTTTTTTTTTTAAAGTGCCATTTTTAACTATCCTACTATAAGAGAAGTATTGTTCTAGGTTAAGTGAATACCCTGTATTCTTATCTCTAGCTTTCTGAACAGGGCTGAACAGTCAACAAAATTAAAAGACTTGAGGATCGTCGTCCCACTCCCCACAACCACCACCACCATTTTAATTTCTTCTTTATAGATAACCTTAGAAAACAGCTTTTTTATGACTTATCCAGGATTTTTCTTTTCTGAGAGAAGTTTCTTTATCAAGCAATCAAGCAACTTTGTAGTCCAAATACATCCTATTTTGGGCCTTATCTTTATGATTGATCCTGCTACTCAAATCATCCTTCCCTCCACCGCCCCTCCCTGCCACCCCCCCGGTTTTTATTGCTGTAGTTCATACCTTCATAATATTTTTAGCCTGGTTTATTATCCTATCCCTCCCCCACTTTCCCACTCCTAATAATTTATTCTTTTCCAAGTTAGTAGGTATGATGGATCCTACACATTCCTATGAGGAGCACTTATTTGACTTTGCCTTGTTTCATAATAGATTACGTATATACATATCTCCCAGTAGGATGTCATCCCCTTGAGAACAAGCACTTTGTTTGGGGCATCTTTTATTTCCCTTCCCCCGTTGTTGTTTTTTTGTACGATTTTGTTCTTTCTTTTAAAATATCATTTACTCTTCTTTTTGTCTTCTCCAGGGCTGGAAAAGAGAACGTGTAGTAGCAGAGTTTTGGGATGGGAAAATTGTGTTGGTCCTGCCACATGATCCAAGTTATGCTATCAAAAAGGTATGGAACATTAGCTTTTTTTTTTTTTTTTAATATATTTTATTGATTTTTTACAGAGAGGAAGGGAGAGAGACAGAGAGTCAGAAACATAGATGAGAGAGAAACACCGATCAGCTGCCTCCTGCACATCTCCTACTGGGGATGTGCCCGCAACCCAGGTACATGCCCTTGACCGGAATCGAACCTGGGACCTTTCAGTCCGCAGACCGATGCTCTATCCACTGAGCCAAACCGGTTTCGGCGGAACATTAGCTTTTTAATTGTTCTCCCATTTCCTCCGTTTCCCCCACCAAGAAATCACATATGTTGAAGTATGAACTACTTTTGTTGATAGATAATCCACTTTGGTACACATGTAAGGATGATTTTCATACTAGTTCATACAAAACTAGCCTCAGAATTACAAGTAAAGGAATGGCAGTTAGAGATTAAAGACAATAGCCCTAACCAGTTTGACTCAGTGGATGTTATGTCAGCCCGCAGATTGAAGGGTCCTGTGTTTGATTCCAGTCAAGGGCACATAACTCGGTTGCAGGCTCATCCCTGGCCCTTGTCGGGGTGAGTGCAGAGGCAACCAATGGATGACACATCGATGTTTCTCTCTGTCTTGCCTCCTCCCTTCCACTCTCTAAAAATCAATGGAAAAATATCCTCGGGTGAGGACTAACAACAACAAAAAAAGACAACTTTACCTTTACCTTCCACTTGTGAAAAACATAAACTTATTGAGAGATGAATGGCCCCAGAGTCTATTTCTTATGTTAGCTTTGCCTCTGTTTCTTGGGCTAGATGTTTAGCCCCAGTGAACAATGAATAAAACTGAAACAAAATCTGTTTTGGCACTTCCTACTTTTTCTCCCTCCCAGGAGTCTGGATTTCTTTCTCCTGAAAGTGATCTTTAAAATAGGTTTTTAGAAACCTGTTGTTTCCAAAGTAGCAGATACATGCATCAATAATAAAATGATGGGGGGGGGGCTTGTAAATTTAGGAAATAGAGATAAAATAGGCTAAAATGATAGTAATCATAAATTTTGTATATATAATTACATATAGTTTCATTATAATTTTTAAAACATATTCTCCTCTTTTGATTTTTTATGTCATTAGGCAGAAGAAGTGCAAGAACTTGTCGATAATGAGTTGGGCTTTCAGCAAGTTGTTCCCAGATGTCCAAACAAAACCAAAACATTTCTCTTTATATCTGATGAAAAGAAAGTAGTTGGGTGTTTAATTGCAGAGCCCATCCAACAGGTATGTTATAAGTCTTTTAAATTATTGGCATAATTTGTGACCAAAATAAAGTAGTTAGGAAAAGCCTCAGTAAGTCTCAAGCATTTAAGACTACTACCATAAATAACATTTTTTCCTACTAAAACATTTTTGACCATATGAATAATTAAAGTTATTTATTTCTGTTAATATTTGATATTTTGCTCTATATAAACAGGGTAAGTCAATCTTATGTTCATGTAGTCATTTCTATACCCGGCCTTTAAACTATGGTGATTCAGAGCCCAGTTATTGAATATTGGCTTATTGCAAAAGTCATGATTTGTCCCTTGACTAGAATCTATTTTAGGTACTAATTAGCAATGTTCTAGAAAAGGTGTTGGCAAACTTGCCTGTAGGCCAAATATGGCTGCCACCTACTTTTATAAATAAAGTTTTATTGGAACATAACCATGCTCATTCATTTCTATATTATCTGTGGTTGCTTTTTTGCTACAATGGCAGGGTAGAATGGGTGCAAAGAGCCTAAAATATAATTTGGCCCCTCACAGGAAAAAGTTCTCAACCCTTATTCTATAACTAGAGGCCTAGTGCACAAAATTTGTGCATGGGTACAGTCCCTAGGCCTGGCCTGTGATCAGAGCCATATTCTCCAGCTGCCGGCAGGTGATCAGAACCTGCCAGCCAGGGGAAGGAACCGAAAGGTTGGCTGGCAGGCCCCCATTGGGTGATCAGGGCCTACAGGCTGAGGGCAGCTCCTGCATTGAGCGTCTGCGCCCTGGTGGTCAGGGCGTGTCATAGCGACCGGTTGTTCCGCCGTTTGGTCAATTTGCATATTACCCTTTTATCTACACTAATAAAAGAAAGATGCAAATTGACTGTGCCTTCGCAATGCCCACCAGCCAATCAGGAGTGAGTATGCAAATTAACCCAACAAAGATGGGTTGATTTGCATACGCAGGCGCCGAGCAGCTGGGAGGGACGCTTGCATCATCACCATGGCGATAACGCAGGCGTCCCGCACTGCCCCAGCTGCTCCTGGAGTCTGGGCAGCGTGGGAAGGCGGAAAGGCGGCTCCAGGCCAGAGCAAAGGTGGTGCCAGCAGCCAGGGGAAGGCAGGCCCATTCCTGCACGAATCTTTGTGCATTGGGCCTCTAGTTATATAGAATAGAGAGAGTAGTTTTTGCCTACAAGGAGCTTACAGGGTAATCTTTAGCTAGAGATTTATAGTTGAAATGTGTTCTTACCTGACTGTATCATATTGCACACTTATGTCTCCTTCCTTTTAAAAATACTTATCTCAATACATCTTGAAATGAAACTGGCATAAATTTATCTTATACTTTCTGGTGGAGGGAAAAGCTGGGTATGGTTATAAAGAGGTAGCAAGAGGGAGAATTTGTGATGATGCAATACCTGTATTTTGAGTGTGGTGGTGGTTAAATGAATAATGATAGAAAGTAATGAGTGGTCATGAAAGTATACACATACATAATACCCATATTTTCTTGCTTTTGGGATTGTATCATAGTTATGAAACAGTTTCCTTGGGGAAAACTGTCCTAGTTTTCAACTTCCTGTGAATCTATAATTATTTCCAAATACAAAGTTTTCTTAAAAAACCTTACATGCCGCCCAGCTGGTGTGGTTCAGTGGTTGAGCATCAACCTATGAACCAGGAAGTCATGGTTCAATTCCTGGTCAGGGCACATGCCCGGGGTTGTGGGCTCCATCCCCAGTAGGTGGCATGCAGGAGACAGCTGATCAATATTTCTATTTCCCTCCCCTTTTCTCTCTGAAATCAATAAAAAATATTTTTAAAAAAAAAAATAAACCTTAGCTGCCAACCAAATTTCATAGTCAACATGTAAAAATCTCCTTTGTGTTACCAGTTTTTAAAATATCATATATATAGTTTAGGCTGGAGACAATGAGAGAAGTGTATGTATTTTATGTACTAAAAGTCAGAGTCGGATTTTTTTACTTTTTTTTTTTTAATAAAAGAAGTTTCATAATGGTGTGTAATACACTGGCATGTTAGGAATAGCTCAATACCACTAGTAGTTTTTTCAAGCATTGTGTGGCTAAAAGAACAAGTATTCCATAAATATGAACGAATTTTAACATTTTGGTGAAGGTATAGTAAGGATAATTCTAAATTCTTAAGTTTTGTTTAAGGAATGGTTTTTTAAAAAGAAATGTGAACTAATCTGTATTAACTGTAGATGCTTCGATATATCATTACAGGCCTTCCGTGTCCTGTCTGAACCAACTAGTCCAGAATCCCCAAACTCTAAAGAATGTCATAGGGCTTGGCAATGTTCAAATGTACCAGTACCTGCAGTCTGTGGAATAAGTAGGATCTGGGTCTTCAGATTTAAGAGAAGAAAGCGCATTGCAAGACGACTGGTAGATACGCTCAGGTAAGAAATAAAATAAAATGGATTTAGACCCAGATTAGCTTACCCAGAACCTTTTCTGGCTCATGACCCAAAGAGATGTTGATAAAACACCTCCATATAAATTCTATCCAAATCAGGCTAAGTAAGATAAGTGCTGGCAATGAAAAAAAAATACTCAGTTTAGGCACATTCCAGGTCTAAAACATTCTAACCCAGTGCTTTCAAACTACCTGCAGTGAAGTTTGTTATAGACCAAAACTTTAATAAAAGAAAATAAAGATGAATTGCTAGAAAATTAAATAGAAAAAACAAAAATAAAGGAAAATGCCCTAATTTTAAGAAAATTTTAAAAAGAAAAAATAAAATAAAACGAAGAAAATAGAGGTTTAAAAAAAGAATTACAGGGGTCAACCTGAGAGGGGCAGTGAAGGATTAAAGAAAACAGACAGAGTACAGTTGGGGCCAGGTAGGATCACTGTGCCTAGATGAGGAAACAGTGACAGCCTGTAAGCCGAAGCTTTATTTTATAGTCAGAGCACACAAAGCAAAACAAGGGCAAGATGTTTACAATGTTCTTGTGAATTTCAAATCTGCTTCTTTCCTGTTGTTGCCATTCTCTGAACTCTTTCAAGCCTTGTTTTGACAGCACTTGCTGCACACACTCCCCCCACCCCCACCCGGGGCAGCCCACATCCCTTAGCTACCTAGGACTTCAGGGTTGGACTATAAGGTCAAGCTTACAACCATCGCCTTTTGGCTATAATTGTGCTGGGAGGGCTTTGCCCTCCAAGCTGGGACTTGTATGTGGCTTTGCCACAAGTCAGTCCGAGGCTTGAACCTGTCCAAATGCTGTAGCCGCTCTCCACATTGTACATATCCATTAGTAGTATGTAAGTAATTCTTACTATAACTCATAAGTATAACTAAATGTAAAAGCAAATTAGTAAGACAACCCACAGAATGGGAGAAAATATTTGCAAATAATTTACCTAATAAGGGTCTATTACATCCAGAATAAAAGAACTCCTTTAATCCTATATAATAAAAGGCTAATATGCAAATTAACCTAAAGGCGGAACAACTGGTCGCTATAATGTGCACTGACCACCAGAAGGCAGATGCTCAATGCAGGAGCTGCCCCCTGGTGGTCCGTGCTCTCCCACAGGGAGAGCACCGCTCAGCCAGAAGCCGGGCTCATGGCTGGCAAGTGCAGCAGCGGTGGCAGGAGCCTCTCTCACCTCTGCAGCAGTGCTAAGGACCCCTCGGGGGATGTCTGCCTGGCGGGGGATGTCTGCCTGATGGCGGGGAGCGGGCCTAAGCCAGCAGGCAGACATCCCCTGAGGGGTCCCAGACTGCAAGAGGGCATAGACAGGGCTGAGGGACCACCCCACCCCCCTCTGCCCCCCAGTGCACGAATGTCATGCACCAGGCCTCTAGTACAATAATAAAAAGACATAACCCAATTTAAAAATGGGCAGGATTTCAATAGAAATTTCTTCAAAGAAATACAAATGGCTGATAAACACATGAAAATATGCTCAACATCATTAGCTATCCAAACCAAATCACAAATTAAAACCATAAGATTCCACTTCATATCCACTAGGATGACTAATCATAAAGAGAAAATAAGTGTTGGTGAGGATGTGGAGGAAATTGGAATCTTTGTACTTTGCTCTAGGAATGTAAAATGGTGCAGCAGCTGTGGAATGCAGTCTAGCAGTTTCTCAGAAATAAACTGTTACCATATGACCCAGCAATTGTACAAATAGCTATATATGCAAAAGAAAGGATAAGTCCATACAAAAACTGGTATATGAGTGTTCATAACAGCATTATTCTTAGTAGCCACAAAAGCAAACAACCCAGTTCATGATTAATGGATAAATATAATGTGTTATATCCATACAGTAATATAGTAAGACTAGAGGCCCGATGCACGAAATTCATGCAAGGGGCTCAGCTCACACAGCCCCTGCTGCCTCGGCTTCATCCAGACAGTAGTCTGGACAGTCATTCTGCTCTTCAGTCTAATTAGCATATTAGCTCTTTATTAGATAGGATATTATTTAGCCACAAAAAGAAATGGAGTACAAGACATACTACAATATGGATGAACCTTGAAAACATGCTAACTGAAATAAGTCATAAGAGTCCCCATATTGTATGACTCCACTTAAAGAAAATATCCAGAATAGGCAAATTCATTGATAGAAAGTAGATTGGTAGTTTCCAGGCACTGAGAGACAGGTGAATGGAGAGTGACTGCTAATGGGTACAGGGGTTTTTTGTGGGGGGGTAATGAAAGTGTTCTGGAATTAGATATTGGTGATGGTTGCACAGTTTTGTGACTATTACTAAAAAACAACTGAATTGTATACTTTAAAGGATTGAGTCTTATGGTATATGAATTATATCTCAAAACTAAATTAGTGACTCTCCATTTTAAACTTCGCTGTGTTAATACTGCATATTGATACTTAAAGTTTCTAATGTGACAAATGAGTTTATTTCTTGTTCACATTAATTTACCTAGTTTAGGTTGGATAAGTGAGCTTCACAACACTTCTGTCAGCTTCTATACTTAATAACAGATTACAAACCAGTTACTAACTACACCTTAACCCAGGGGTCCTCAAACTTTTTAAACAGGGGGCCAGTTCACTGTCCCTCAGACTGTTGGAGGGCCGGACTATAGTTTAAAAAAAAACTATGAACAAATTCCTATGCACACTGCACATATCTTATTTTGAAGTAAAAAAACAAAACGGGAACAAATACAATATTTGTATTTGCATGTGGCCTGCGGGCCGTAGTTTGAGGACCCCTGCCTTAACCAAACCAAGAACCACACTTTGAGTAGCACTATTCTAGCCTTTTGAGTTACAGCACCAAAGACAACTGTGGGGATGCAATCTTTGGCCATAATCCTGCCCACCCATAAAGGGGAGCATTGAGAAAAACTGGTGTCTATAGAGATTTTTATTGGGTAGTTAATTATGAAATACCTCTATTTTCTATACTTTATATTAAGAGCTATATAAATTTGACATGAGAAATAGCAGTATCTGAGCTACTTCCAGCAGACAGTAGTCCAGTGCTTCTCAAACTTGAAAGTGCATATGAATCACCTGGGATCTTATTAAAATGCAGGTGTGGTTCAGTAGGTCAGGGTGGGGCCTGAGATTCTGCATTCCTAGTAAGCTCTCAGGTGATGCTGAATGTTGCTGGTCGATAGATCATACTTTGAGTACTAAGGCATCTCTAAGCAATAACAAATGAGAATTAAGTTGCCTTCAAAGGAAAAATAAACACATTCATTTGAGAACGTATCTGTCTTTTCTCACACATCTGAGTTGAAGGTACAAGTAACATAATTGACAGATCATCCTGTATATGAGGAGACTTAGGTTGAATTGTCTCTTGTCTATATAGGCAATCTATACTAATAAAAGGGTAATATACTAATTAGACGGGGAGACCTTCCGGACGTCCTTCAAGACAAAGCCATGGTGGTGGGGCCGAGGCAGAGGCGGTTAGGGGCGATCAGGCCAAGAGGGGAGGGCAGTTGGGGGTGGTGAGGGATGACCAAATGACTGAACAGCAGGCTGTGTGGGGTGACCAGGTCAGCAAGGGGGGGCAGTTGGGGGTGAGCAGGCCAGGGGGGGCAGTTGGGGGCAAGCAGGCTGGCAGGCAGAGTGGTTAGGGGCGAGCAGTTAGGAGCCAGTGGTCCCAGATTTCGAGAAGGATGTCCAACTGCCAGTTTAGGGATCGGGCCTAAACGGGCAGTCGGACATCCCCCAAGGGGTCCCAGATTGGAGAGGGTGCAGGCCAGGTTGAGGGACACCCCTCCCCCCCTGCACAAATTTCATGCACCGGGCTACTAGTTAATCACAAGAGTAGAAAATTATTCCTAGTTATTTTACATAAGAATCACCTGAGGCTCAGATGGGATTATATAGTACAAACTTACATCAATGAGCTAGTATAAGTACAGAGTAAGGATTCAAACCTACAGATGTAATATTTTTTCTATAGCTGATATCACTAATAAAGACAATAAGAACTTTTAATCAAACCAATATTTTGCTTTGGACATTTAGCAATAAACTTTGTATTCAGTTATATAGTAAAGATACCAAAAGCTTGTATCTTAACTTCTAATTGAATCTAATTCTTTAATTTTTTACTTTGAAGTAATTTTAAACTTACAAGAGTAGCAGTAGTTAAAAAGAGCCCCCATATGCCTTTGCCCAGATTCAAGTTTTAACATTTGCTGTACGTTCTTTGTACTTTAGTGTATATTTCTTAGGAACAAGGATATTCTCTTACATAAGCACAGTTCAATGATCAAATTCGGGATATTTAATATGGCTATAATGCTTCTGTCTAAAGTATAGTTCATATTTCAGTCTTGTCATTTGTCTCAAGTGTCCTTTATAGCATTTTTCCCCCTGTGCAGGATCGAATATTGCACTTAAGTCATCATATCTCTTTAGTTCTCATTTTCCTTAACCTGGAACAGTTTAGGCTTTCTTTGTCTTTTATGACATTGAAGAATTTGAAGAGCACAGGCCAATTACTTTATAAACTATCCCTCAATTTTGTTGAATTCTTTCAACCATTTCATCTTATATTACTTTTAATCCTAATTGCGCTCTGGATCAAGGAGATTGCAAGTAAAAATGTGGGATAGTTTTTGCCTTCTTTTTTCCCCAAAAAAATTTTGGTTGCCTCCCAAAATAAACATTGGGGGAGAGAGAGAGTTTTTGCCTTCTTAAAGCTCCAAGTGTCTGGTGTAGTTGAAAAGAATATAGTATTGGTTATTGGTGATGGGTTTCTTTAATTATCTATGGTTTTAATTATGGTGTTTTTTTTCATTAATTACCACCTGAGGATATTTTTCTATTGATTTTTATTTCTTTTATTGATTTCCAAGAGGGAAAGGGAGAGATAGAAACATCAATGATGGGAATAATCATTGATTGGTTGCCTCCTACATGCCCCACATAGGGGACTGAGCCCACAACCCGGACATGTGCCCTACCAGGAATCAAACCATGACCTCCTGGTTTCCTAGGTTGGCAATCAACCACTGAGCCACACTGGCCAGGCTCTATTGATTTTTAGAGAGAGTGGGAAGGGAAAGACAGAGAGAAACGTCAATGTGTGTCACTTGGCTGCCTCCCGTATGTGCCCTTGACTGGAATTGAACCCACAACCCTTTAGTCCAGGGGGCCGACACTAGTCACTGAGCAAAACTGGCTAGAGCTATTGATGGCTTTTAATTAGCAATATTACCTCTTATTAGTTGCTCATTCCTATGCATCATCTAGAGTCAGCTGGTTGGTTTTTATGACTCCCTTTACCTCAGCAGAATTTCTTGTGGACCTCAGCTTTCTCTGTGAAATAGGCTTCCATCTCTAAAATCTAAAGCATTAAGTCATTTTACCACTTACAATGTGGATTTTAATCGAGTATTTAGTTAGATTGAATTTTTGTATTTGGATTGATAAAATAAAGTGTGCTAAAGTTTAATCAAAATTTTAATTTGGTTCCATTGTTAAATTGTCTTTTCCTCTTTTTTCTCTTTCTTTTTTTTTTTTTTTAGGAATCGCTTCATGTTTGGCTGTTTTCTCAGCACTAATGAAATAGCATTTTCTGACCCAACACCAGATGGCAAGTTATTTGCAGCCAAGTACTGCAACACCCCTAATTTCCTTGTATACAATTTTAATAGTTAAAACCAATTCCAACTATAGAATAATTATTATATGGGTGAGTTAAGACAGTTTCTTATCATATAATAACTACTTAGCAAATGTCAAAATAAAAATACTGAACCGCATGCACACACACACAACCTGGCTGTTTTATTCCTTATGAATTGAAAAGTCAGGGATAGATTTCTTGAAAATTATCTGGAGATTCAAAGAAAGGAAAAACCTTTGGATGATGTATACTGACACACTCTGAATCCTTAATTATGAAACTTTGTAGATATAACTGGAAAATTACTTGCCCCTTACATAGGATCACTGACATGTTTTCCATAGAAATGTGACCACTTACATATTATTAAGCACTTTTGAACCAGGATTATCTCATGCTTAATCAGAAGCAAACAGGAAAATTTAAAGACAAATAATTTCCATGCTCAATTTTTAAAAGAAATTCCTGAATTCTGTACACAGAATTCTCACCTTATAGGTAGCAGCTTAGTTGAATATATTCAGAAAGTCTTTAAATTTCTAGTTTGTAATAGGGTAACATGGTAAAGAATAAGATTTTCATGTAGAACAGAATTCTATAGCCTAATGTTTTAATCGTTTTAAAAATCTTTACTCAAAAGAAATTCTCACCAGATTTCATTAAACTTAGTAATTGCACTACTGTCATTTAATTTTTGGTGTATGAATATGTTAATTGTGCTACTTACCTTTAGTGTACTTACTACTGCTAATTGAAATAATCAACAAAATGGATGCCCAATTGGGATTAGATGACTTATATTGTTACATTTAAAAATGTTTGCATGTCTAAAATACATCTTACTTGTTCTGAGATATCTAACAAAATGTATAGTATCAGAACCAAGGTTAGTGAATAAATATACCTAGGTTGATGGGCCAGAGAACATGACATTATGTAGATACACCTAAATGTCTTAATCTCTCTAAAAATCAGTTTTCTAGTATAATTCTTGGGTACTTTGAAAAGCAAAGGATTATTCAGATTGTTGATTCTAAAAAACATTTAATTGCTATCTGGCAATAATACTCTAGGGAAGTAGTTTTCCAGGTTATAACTTTATGTAGAATATGTTCATTACATTCTTTTATTTGCCTGTAAATTAACATGGTTCCAAAATTTAAAGGCTTGGGTTCCAAAAAGAATGTGGAAGTGTTAAATGTGCGTAATTATGCAAACACCTTATTTTCTGCACTGCTGTTTTGTTTTAAATATTTTATTTAAAAATTTTTATTAACATTATTTGCTTGTTCAATGCTTTTACTATGGATCAATTAAAAATTTTTTCAATATTTTCTTTGTCTATTCTCATATAATAGAATGTACTGATTTTCTTAAGTTATTTTTTGTGGCTATAAAAATAGTATATGTTCCCCCTGGCCCAGTAGCTCAGTTGGTTAGAGCATTGCCTCAATATGCCAAGTTTGCGATTTTCCCTGGTCAGGGAACATACAAGAATCAACCAATGAACGCATAAATGAGTGGCACAACAAATTGATGTTTCTCTCTCTCCCTTCCTCTCTCTAAAATCAGTAAGTAAAAAATTTTTAAGTACATGTTTTTACTTGTTTAAGTAAAAAATAACCCAATCATTGAAAATATATCTATCTACACAAAAACTGCACACAAATATTTATAGCAAGCTTTATTCATAATTGTCAAAACTTAGAAGCAACCGAGATGTTCTTTGGTAGATGAACAAAGAGCTACATCCAGACAGTGGACTAAATTCGGCACTAAAAAGAAACCACAAAAAGGCATGGAGTAACCATAAGTGACTATTACCAAGTGAAAGAAGACAGTCTGAGGCTACGTTCTATATGATTCCAACTATATGACATTCTGGACAGGCAAAACTGTGGAGACAGTAAAAATATATGTGGTTGCTCTGGCTGGTTTGGCTCAGTTGGTAGAGCGTTGGCCTGCAGACTGAAGGGTCCCAGGTTCAATTCTGGTCAGGAGCATGCACATTGGTTGTGGGCAAATCCCCAGTGGGGGTGTGCAGGAAGCAGCTGATTGATGTTTCTCTCTCATCGATATTTCTAACTCTTTATCCCTCTCCATTCCTCTCTGTAGAAAATCAATAAAATATATTTTAAAAAATATGTATATATATGGCTGCCATGGGTTGGAGGAACATAGGATTTTTAGGCCAGTGAAAATATTGAAGTATACTGTTAGATTGGTGGATAGATGCTTTTATACATTTGCCCAAGTTCAGAATGGATACCAAGAATGAACCCTATCAAACTGATTGTCAAACTGCAGCGGGAAGACCAGGGAGGGTTGGGGGGCAGGAGGGAGGGGGGTAAAAGATCAACCGAAGGACTTGTATGCATGCATATAAGCATAACCAATGGACATAAGACACTGGGGGGTAGGGGGGGCCAGAGGATTGTCAAGGGCGGGGAAGAAAAAAAAGGACACATATGTAATACCCTTTGTAATACTTTAAGCAATAAAAAAAAAAAAAAAAAAAAAAAAAAAAAAGAATGAACCCTAATTTGTCACTGTAGATTCATCAGTTTAAACAAATGTACCACTCTGGTTGGGGATGTTGATAATAGGGGAAGCTAGTCTTCCTCTTGCCCTCCTCAATTACTATATCATCTTACTCAAATGTAACTACTTTTTAAAATCCTCACCCAAGAATTTGTTTTTATTGATTTTAGAGAGAGGAAGGGGGAGAGAAACATTGATTGGTTTTCTCCACTACATGTCCTGACCAGGAATCAAACCTGCAACCTTTTGGTATATGGGATTCTCCAACCAACTGAGCCACCCAGTCAGGGCATATAACTACCTTTGGATTACTAACTCTTTAGTCTCTTTTTGAATTTCATAGCAATTAAATCTTCATATATGTCAAAATACATTTGTTATTACATTTAGGTGAATCTCACTTTTTTTACTGTATATTATTCCACCCTACTTCGGGGCCGAGGCAGAGGTGGTTAGGGGTGATCCTGCCAGGAGGGGAGGGCAGTTGGGTGCAAGCAGGCCAGCGGGGGGGGGCATTTGGGGGCGATCAGGCCTGCAGGGAGGGCAGTTGGGGGCGAGCAGGCCGGCAGGCAGAGTGGTTAGGAGTGATCAGGCAGGCAGGCAGGTGAGCGGTTAGGAGCCAGCGGTCCTGGATTGCAAGAGGGATGTCCAACTGCCAGTTTGGGACATCCCCCAAGGGATCCCAGATTGGAGAGGGTGCAGGCCAGGCTGGGGGACAACCCCCCATGCACGAATTTCATGCACCAGGCCACTAGTACTAACAACTGGAGAAACTTCTAAACCTCCCAGCACCAAAATGATCACAGGCAAAACAAAAACTTTCCTTGAAATGTTTAAGGGTTGGACCCGGCCATGATGTTGAATTTACTGCCAGCTCTGAGTGATTTAAATGATTCAAGAATTGTTCTTTATCCATTAGATCATGTAATGAGTGGTAAGTCTGTAAGTACTGATGTGAAAGCAGGTAAAGAATTTTTGGGAACTCTAGGTAAGCTGATTGTGGAGGGAAATTACATGCCAGAACCTAAATTCAATACGGATGAAACCTCCTTATTCTGGAAAGGTCTTCCATCCAGAGGGCAAGATTCAAGGCTTTTAAGGACAGGGTAAGTCTTGCTTGGGGACAATGCTGTAGGCTACAAATGAAAACTCTTTGTGACCTGCAGTGAGAACCCCAGGGCTTTCAGCCTCTTTTCTAATATTTAAGACTATGAATCTTGATAAGCACATCTTTAGCCATACCCCAGAAGTTTATGTACATTTTTTTATTAAAAATATTTTCTAGCCCGGCCAGCGTCGCTCAGTGGTTGAGCGTCAACCTATGAACCCGAAGGTCACGGTTCGATTCCTGATCAGGGCACATGCCCGGGTTGCGGGCTCAATCCCCAGTATGGGGCATGTAGGAGGCAGCCAATCAAGGATTCTCTCTCATCATTAATGTTTCTCTCTCCCTTACTCTCTGAAATCAATAAAAATATATTTTAAAAGTATTTTCTAGAGGCTGGGTTCTTAGGAACTAGTCATTCCTTCAGTACTAGTTCAGCTCTTAGGACTAGGCTTGGCTCTTTGGGGCTAGGCTCCCACCCTCTAGACTGGGCTCAGCTGTTTAGGGCTAGGCTCAGCCCTTCAGGACTTGGCTAAGCCTTTGGGACTAGGTTGGGCTCTTTGGGGTAGGCTTGGTTCTTAGGCACTGGGTCATCTCTTCGGGACTAGAATCAGGGCTTAGGACTAGTCTCAGCCCTTCAGGGCTAGGCTCAGCTCTTTGGGGTTAGCTTGGCTTTTGGGGGCTACGCTTGATTCTTCTGGCTAGGCTCAGCTCTCTTCAGAGCTATGGTTAACAGATAGAAATTACTGACCCAAATCACCCTCATTTTACAGATTAACAAAATAAGGCCAAGAGAAGGAAAGAAATCTACTCACATTCATTCTGCAACTTTAATGACAACACTCAGATCAATGGGAGTATAAAATAGATAATACACCTTCTGGTTAACTAAAGCGTCCTTTATTCTATATCATCCTATTAGTTTTATTATTTTTACACCAGAGCTGTAAAATGCTTAAGAGCTAGATCAGTAAACAAAAAATAGAACTGGATCTCAGTACAGAAATACATTTAATAAATAAATGAAAGCAAACACCAAAGATTTGAGGAGAACCAAGAGGACAAGACAAGCCTTAACTGAAAATGTTTAGAAATACCCAAGGAGCTACTGTGCCATATTATTCTCTCAGCTTCCAATGACCATATTTAACAAACATATCAGCCAAGAAAGACCAGCATAGTTTTATGTTTTAAAAGATAATCAAACTTCTGTACTTCAAAGTGCTAATTTAAATTGATCCATTTAAGTAGAGAATATTCAAGGAAGATCACTAATAAAAGTATTGGTTCCCCTACCCAAATTAACGTTAGACATAGGAGTTTATGGTATTTTGCTAGTGTTTTAAATCTCTAGGAACAAATTTCAATACTTGTTCCTTAAGCCTAAAAGTTTTTTAAGTTTTATAGGAAACCCACTACGATATTATATACTAATAAGTATACATGAAATACCTTTATAATACAAAGTTTTTCAAATGTTAACAAGGTGCTATGGTTCTAAAATAGGCCACTTTCAAACAGTCTAATAACTGGATTCTCACAGTAACTACATAAACGTATTACAGTAAAGAGAACAGTTATGTATATGAGCCCTACTTGAAGCTCAGGTAGTTGTGAATATGAGATCACTGGACATGTATTTCCAAAGCCTCAACAATGTGCGCAGCCGAAGGACGGTCTTTAGGGTCTTCATTAGTGCACACAGAGAAGAGCTCGATTACTTTCTGGTATGTCTCATCCAGTTCTTCCATATTAAGAGGTGGCCTCGTTCCCAAAGCTGCATAGTATGCTTCATCATCGAAGTCACTTTCATCAAAAGTTTTATCTGCTCATGAGAAAGTTTGAAACAAACAAAATCACTTTAAATCATGGAAAAACTTATCGACTGCTCACTCACCCTTCTGAAACATCCTCGTTTGCTTTTCATTATACCAGTCTCTTCCATTGTCCTGCCATGGTGTAGATTAGCTATTGTCATACATTTGTTACATGGATTTAATCTATGATCATCAACCCTTACTATAATAGCTTTCTAATCTTCTGAGGCAAAGAGAGTTTTTAAGGTAACTTTTTGCTCCTCTGAATTTTCTCAGTTTACCTCCCTGTTCTGAATTAATCTACATCTCATTTGTATGAAATTAAACCAAGATGATACCAAATTAGTCAACAATAATAATATAATCTATAACTCATGCAACTAAATCAAACACCTTGTTCTTTTTAAAATTAACTTAATAGAAAAATAAAATGTAACTTTATAAACTAATCTAATTTCAAACCAAAGAGATTGGGTTTTACATTAAAAATATGTAGTTATACCTTCATCATAATCATCATCATCTGCAAGAGTAATGTGTGGAATACACAGAGTCATCATTTCCCACAGAGTAAGGCCAAAGGCAAATATGTCTGCTTTGTCAGTAATAATACCATTCTCCTCCAAAGCTTCCTTGGGTTTCCAAGGCTCAGTGCCAATGTAACAGGCCTCAGGGTCAGTTACTGAAACAAGCAAAACACAGGTAGAACTGTCATAAGGGCCAGCACAAGAACTCACTGAGAAAGGCAAACAACGACCACCAAAATGGGCAAATGATTTGACAGGTGGTTTAAAGGTTATCAAGTCTAGCCAGTAAACATGAAAAAATACACTCAACCTCAATAATTAATACAAATTACTTTTTCCTTATCAGATTGATAAATATTTAAAAAGCTGGATAGTTGCCAAGGGTGTAGAGAATCAGCAATTCTTTTAGAAAGTGGTAAGAATATAAATAGATTGTGGATGTTAGTACAGACTCTAGAGCAGGGGTCCTCAAACTACGGCCCTCGGGCCACATCCGGCCCGCCGGGTGTTTTTGCCGCCACTGCCTGTCCTGCTTAGCAGCCGACTCGTCCCGGGCCCGCAGTGCGCATGTGTGGAATGTCTGAGGGACAGTGAACTGGCCCCCTGTTTAAAAAGTTTGAGGACCTCTGCTCTAGAGCAAGATTGTCTTGCCTGGGTTCAAAGACATTTACAAGCTCTGTAACCTTAAACATTTACTCTGTGCCTGTTTCTTCATTTTTCAAACTATGCTATTATTAGGCTGAGAGAAATACCATTTCTATGCTTCTATGATTGCTAAATCAGGGAAAAGGGAAAGAGTCGAATCACATACTGGCTTTTGCTCAGGAAATGACTCAACTTCATAAAGGTTAAATAATGAAAATGTATTCCTTTGTGTAGCTTTGACCCTAACAAATTGCTTTTAATTTGTTGTTACATTCTCATTGTTTTCTAAATATTTTACAACTAGAATTTGATTTCTTCATTCAGCCTAGAATCAATTATAAGTATTTTAAATTTAAAAATTTGATTTTTTTTGTTTCCAACTATGTTACTAATATCTAGATGTATTTCACTAAGGACAATGAATGTCAAACATTAGGCTACTTCTACTTTTTGTAAACCAAGGGTTTTTTTATATCCTAACCAATATATATAATCAATTTTCTAATGCATAGATTGACCTTATCCACTCAATCTTTTAATTTTTTTTACATCTTAGTTTTATCTACTTCATGTATTAAGGATTGAGAAAATTACGTTAGAAAATCTTATTTTTATTCTTTTTAAAAAATTCTCCTTTTCTAAAGTTTCATATCTGTAGTAGTGAGACTGAGGGTTCATGACTTTATTTTGACTTTTTCCTTCAATTCAACTTATAGACCTTAACTTTAGCTGGAAATTAAGGTGTGTGTGTGTGTGTGTATTCTAAATAGCATTCATATAAAGAGAAATTTAAATGTTATTAAATATGTTAAAAGCAGAAGCTTTTTCTTTGAGGCTGTCTCTTGGTTCTAAGAATATATCTTAAATTCCCTAAGAGAATGAACAGTATCTATATATGTAAAAGGCTGTGTTTGTCCGTCCAACTGGTAGCTATGATGCACACTGACCACCACGGGGCAGACACAACACAGGAGCTATCATGATGTGCAAACAGAAACGGCACCACAGACCTGGCACCGACAAACCAACACTCGGCTTCCCCCAAGTGGAACACAGGCCCCACCACCTTGGAGCAACACCCCACCAAATCGCAGCCAACACTGCCAAGACCCCATGGCGCAAAGTGCGGCCCACAGCCTAGCCCAGCCCAGCAATGGTTGCTGTAGGCGCCAGGTAATGATGTCACATAGCAACGCCCAGCTTTCTCTCCCTAGAGACTAGCATCCTTGGAGTTTCTTCAGCCCAGGAACCTGACTTGCTTTATAGCCAGGTGCAAACATTTTACAGTTTAACCAAATGTTTGTGAAGCATTTTCCCGTGCCACATCTCATTTCATCCTTACAGAAGTCCTAGAGTTGGTAGATAGGAGACTCAGTAGAATCCTATTTTCTTTTCATTAGCAAGACGCGAATAGAGATATTAAAATATTTCTTCTAATTAACTTTCAATGTGCACGAATCCGTGCACTGGGACACTAGTTTACAATAAACTGAGAAGAATGAGTGGGGTGGGACCGGGCAAAACGCAGAATACTGGCCTTTGCTAGCACCTCTTTCCTACTTCCACTCTAGTTTCTTCTTCTATCAGTTTCCCAAACCTTGTCAATGTATTGATGCTAAATGAATTCCTTTATAAAATCTTATTAAAATTTTATTTTCACCCTGGTTGGTGTGGATCAGTGGTTAGAGCATCAGGCCAGACACCAAAGGGTCATAGGTTCAACTCCTGGCCCAGGGCACATACCTGGGTTGCAGGTTCGGTCCTGGGCCCCAGTCAGGGCATGTGTGGGAGGCAACCAATCAATGTGTGTCTCTTGCATCATGTTTCTCTCTCTCTTCTCCCCAACCCTCCCTCCTTCCCATCCACTCTCTAAAAATCAACAGGAGGAATATCCTTGGGTGAGGATTAACAACAACAATTGAAATATTTTTAAAATTTTTCATTTTCTATTCCCAGATCTTCTACCATTTTTTAAAAATCCCAATCTAGGTTAGAAATAGTTCCTAAAGTTATCTTCAGTTATAATATATATTAATAAGAAAACAATAATTTATACTGTGTATGTGGCAAGAGACGGGGCTGGAGGCTGAGTGAAAAAATACAAGAGGGATAATTTTTAGTGTACACTTTATTAATAGTTTTTTATTTTTGAAGAATGTAAAGTTATTTATTTAAACGTGTAAAAATTAGAAATTTTAAAATTATATTAAAGAAATTTTACAAATTAGAATACTACTCACCTGTCATATTTTCATCCAATGGTAGAGAGACTCCTACATCACAGATTTTAATTGTTTCAAAATCACCTTTAATTACAACATTTGAAGACTTTATGTCTCCATGAAGCAACTTCTTATCTTGGTGCAGATACTAAAATAGTGGAAAATTTAACATATATGAAAAAAATACAAACTAAATACACATAAATAACCTTCAAACAAATATAATTTGAACTCCCTTCCTAAACTACAGGATTATACCATCATTTCAAATTATTTGAAGCTAGAGAAGGAAATATCTCATGTTACCTTGGTCTGTCAAACACACCAGAAATCTAAGAGATTTGTTGGAAATCTTGTAGATAAGCTTTTTATTTACAAACCCTTTTTACATACTTTTATATCAAAAGATGCTACAGCAGAAGCCCCAGCCAGGTGGCTAAGTTAGTTGGAGCATTGTCCCGTACACGAAAAAGTTGTGGGTTTGATTCCTGTTGGGGCATGTACCTAGGTTTGGGTTTAATCCCCAGTCAGGGCGTGTGTAGGAGGCAACTGATCGATGTTTCCCTCTCTCTCTCTCCCTCCCTCCCCCTTTCCTCTCTCTTTAAACATCAGTAAGCCCCGCCAGTGTGGCTCAGTAGGTTGAGCATCTTCCCGTGCATCCAGTGGTTCTACTCCCGGTCTGGGTGTGCTGGAAGCAGCCAATCAATGATTCTCTTTCACTGATGTTTCTCTCTCTCTCTCTCTCTCTCTTCCTCTCTCACCAACCGATGATTCTCTCACAGATGTTTCTCTCTCACTCGCTCCCAACCTCTCTCTTTCACTCTCCCGTTCCCCCTCTTCTCTCACTCTTGCTCTCGCTCCTTCCCTCCCTCCCTCCCCTCCCTCCCTCCCTCACCTTCTCCATCTCCCTCTAAAATCAATAAAAACATATTTAAAAAAAATAAAAATCAGTAAAACACATCCTTGGGTGAGGATTAAAGAAAAAAAAAGAAAAGAAAAAAAAGATGTTATGGAGATATCAAAATATACCGCAACTTAATTTGAAGCTAGAAAATTTTAGGAATAATTTTGGAATCTTCAAAATGAGATACTTTTTTCAAATTGAGATGATGCAAAACAATACATAACTCAGGGCTACACACAATACATAACTCAGGGCTACACAGGGCTACAAGAAGAGGAAGCAGAAATATAATCTAAGAGTATTTTTTGTTTTACACATTAATCCTTTCTTAGAATTGACAACAACATTCATCCATAATAAAAGATGTCTTACAAACCTGTTATTTGTTCATTCATCAGCATTTGAGCATCTACTCTATGACTGGGTTTGAAATGATGCAGACATAAATCTTGGAATATAACTTGAAATACTCACTGTGCTTCATTTAAATGTTGCCCATCATAAAGACAATATGCTCAAATACATAATTTATTAATTCCATTATATATATTTAAAGTAATTTATTAAATAATCAAATTGTTGATTTAGTTTATCCTATCCACTTAAAATTTTTTTTCTATACGCTTATTAAAAATATATACTTAGCCTGACTGGCAGGGTTCGGTAGTTGAGTGTAGACCTATGAAACAGAAGATCTCTGTTTGATTCCTGGTCGGGGCACATGTCCAGGTTGGGGGCTTGATCCCCAGTGGGGCGAATGCAGGAAGCAGCCAATCAATGATTCTCTCTCATCACTGATGTTTCTCTCCCTCTCCCTTCCTCTCTGAAATCAATAAAAATATATTTAAAAATAAAAAATAAGTATCTTTAGAAATATTGCCTTTCTCCAATTTCACACTTCATAAATCAATTTTATTTAAACTCTAATGTACAATTTGACATCAGTATCATTACATAATCTGCATTTGAGTCATCCAACAGTTTTCTGGGGCCATCACTACTTCTGTTTAAGTTATTTAGGATATGGAATTATTTTTATTTCTAACACTGTCCATCCAAAGGCACAATAATTTATTTGCATAAAATTGAGAGCTATTTTCACTTGACTTATAGATCAGCAGTCACCAACTGGTGGTCCACGGACCACTGGTGGTCCGTGAGGTCTGAAAGGTTGGCGACTGCTGCTATAGATGACTATTCATGATGCCAAAACCTATATCCCAAATCTTTTTTTTTTAAATATATTTTTATTGATTTCAGAGAGGAAGGGAAAGGGAGAGAGAAATTGAAACATCCATGATGAGAGAACCACTGATCCGCTGCTTCCTGCATGCCTCCCACTGAGGACTGAGCCCACAACCCAGGCATGTGCCCTTGATCAGAATTGAACCCGAGACCCTTCAAGTCTGCAGGCTGACACTCTATCCACTGAGCCAAACCAGCCACAAAACAATCTTTAAGAAGCTTGTTTACATCAATAGGGGGTTAGGCTACACCCCCAGTAATAATAAATTTGTGTTAAATTTAATCCTTTCATAACTAAATCTAACATGTGATCTCTGTAAGCAAAACTGCCTAACTTGGGTTATTTTGTTATTTCGGACTATGTGAAGGTCTTTCAAAATAAGGAAATAGTACACTCTGTAACACAAAATATTCCATAAGGCAGCGGGTCACCAACTGGTGGTCTGAGGACCACTGGTGGTCTGTGAGGTCCGAAAGGTTGGCAACCGCTGCCATAAGGAAACTTTCACTTAAGGCAGTGGTTCTCAACCTTCTGGCCCTTTAAATACAGTTCCTCATGTTGTGACCCAACCATAAAATTATTTTCGTTGCTACTTCATAACTGTAATGTTGCTACTGTTATAAATCATAATGTAAATATCTGATATGCAGGATTGTCTTAGGCAACCCCTGTGAAAGGGTCGTTCAACCGCCAAAGTGGTCGCGACCCACAGGTTGAGAACCGCTGACTTATGGCAACCCCTTCTTTTGTAAAGTTGGGGAAGAATCCTACCATGTGCATGCTTCAAATGTATACATTTATTTGTAAAGGTTGCAGAATTACCAATCTTCTTTTTTTTAAAAATATATTTTATTGATTTTTTTTTATTATTTAAAGTATTACAAATAGTAGTACATATGTCTCCTTTTTTTCCCCATTGAGAATTAGAAACATCGATGAGAGAGAAACATTGATCAGCTGCCTCCTGCACACCCTCCACTGGGTATGTGCCTGCAACCAAGGTACATGCCCTTGACTGGAATCGAACCTGGGATCCTTGAGTCCACAGGCCGATGCTCTATCCACTGAGCCAAACCAGTTAGGGTGGTTTTGCTTTGTTTTTAATATGTTTTTATTTCTTAGAGAGAGAGAAAGGGAAAAGAAGATAGAAACACCCATGAGTGAGAACATCGATTGGCTGCCTCCTGCACGGCCCTCACCGGGGATCAAGCCCAATACCTGGGCACATACCCTGATCAGGAATTGAATGGGCAACCTCTTGGCACATGGGTCGACGCTCAATCACTGAGGCACACTGGCTAGACCAGGGGTGGGCAAACTTTTTGACTCGAGGGCCACAATGGGTTCTTAAACTGGACCGGAGGGCCGGAACAAAAGCATGGATGGAGTGTTTGTGTGAACTAATATAAATTCAAAGTAAACATCATTACATAAAAGGGTACAGTCTTTTTTTTTTTAGTTTTATTCATTTCAAACGGGCCGGATCCGGCCCGCGGGCCGTAGTTTGCCCACGGCTGGGCTAGACTGTACTTAGTTGTCTAATGTCCCACAAAAGTCACGTAAAATATAATGGTACAGTTACCTTTAACCCTCTTGCCATGTTCAAAGCAACTTTTAAAATTGTGGCTGCTGGAAAAGGATCGTGGCTGTCTTTATTTCGTTCTTCAATTAAGTCATTTAGAGACTTTTCACCCCCGTATTCCATAGCAAGACATAGACTACCATCATTGGCTTCAGTGAAAGCACGATAACCTGAAAGAAACATAACATTTTCTACTAGAATAGGGAAGAACAACAGTACTTACGTTTTTTATAGTACTGTGACTGAAAATGGACCTGGATTAACACTGACAAATATATAATGAAACAGCTATCTATCTATGTATATATAAAAGCCTAAGCGACCTTTACGACGGAACGACCTGAATGACTGGTCGACCAGTCACTATGACGTGCACTGACCACCAGGGGGCAGATGCTCAATGCAGGAGCTGCCCCCTGGTGGTCAGTGCACTCTCACAGCCAATCTCCTGCAGCCCCTACCCCCTGGCCAGCTGGCCCCGCCATCGGCCCCCCAATTATGCACGAATTCGTGCACTGGGCCTCTAGTTTATATATAAAAAAGCCTAAGCAACTAGCTGGTAGCTATAATGCGCACTGACCACCAGGGGGCAGACGCTCAGCACAGGAGCGGAAACCACAGGCATGGAAACAAGGAACAGACTGATGAATCACAGAGAACGGGGGGAGGGCAGGAAGAGATTAACCGATCTTATATGCATATTAGAGGTCCGGTGCACGGATTCGTGCACTGGTGGCGTCCCTCAGCCTGGCATGTGGGGATCAGGCAGAAACCAGCTCTCCAAGATCCCCCAAGGGGTCCCAGATTGCAAGAGGGCACAGGCCAGGTTGAGGGACCACACCAGTGCACAAATCTGTGCACCGGGCCTCTAGTTATTTATAAAACTAATTCAGTCATCTAATTTAAAATGCCTTCAGTTTTTACAAATAGTATCACAAATTAAAATTTTAAAATATCTTATGCATTCCTAAATATAACGGTTCGAGCCCTACTTATATCTAAATGAAGATCACTCTATATTCCTGAATTCTCCATAGTACCAGCATCATGACTATTTTTTTTAAATATATTTTTTAATATTTTTATTGATTTCAGAGAGGAAGGGAGAGGGAGAGATAGAAACATCAATGATTAGAGAGAATCATTGATGGGCCTCCTACACGCCCCCTACTGGGGATCGAGCCTGAAACCCAGGCATGTGCCCCTGACCGGAATTGAACCCAGGACCCTTTAGTCCGCAGGCCGACGCTCTATCCACTGAGCCAAGGCAGCTAGGGCATGACTAACTATTCCCATGATTTTTTAAATTATTATTTTTTAAAATTTATCTTTACTGTTGAAATTATTAGATGTCCCCACTGACTCTCTCCACCCTGATTCTGCCTCCTCCCCAGGCCTTGTCTATCCATGGGCTATGCATATATGCTTATAAGTTTATTGGTTAATCTCTTCCCCCCCACCTCCTGCCTTCCCTCTGAAACAAGTCAGTCTGTTGCATGCTTTAATGTCTCTGGATCTTTTTTGTTCATAGTTTATTTTGTTCATTACATTCCACATATAAGTGATCCCACGATGTTTTAAATACATACTTAAGCATCTAAAAATGTATACTAACTTTTATTTTAGAATGTTTACCTTAATTTGATTCTTACCAAACTCTACCACCATCCTCTTCATTTTTATTACTGAAAATGGTTAAGAAATTATATAAACTGTTTCTGATAAACAGAATAATATACAAGATCCTGCTACCAAATAAAATTTAAACTTACCTATAATATTTGGATGATGAAGGTTTTTCAAAATCTTAGCTTCATCAGTTAATCTCTTTTGATACATACTTTGATAATCACCATTACATTTAGAATTAATCTTTTTCACAGCCCAAGGAGAATGAGACAAGCCTCTTGGAGATCTTAAAAAAATAATCAATCATAAAATGTATAAATAATAATAAACATAATGCATTTATTTCCAAATGACTAACAAGAACTTCCAATTTTTGAAAAGGACTTGATAATTTGTTGTTTTATTTTAAATTTACAAAATTTTATACTATCAACACCTCTTTTACATTTCCTTTTCAATCTGGAAGATAAATAGCTGATATATCTTGATTACAAGAGTAGTCTGATATCTATTGCTGGAAAGGAGGGATAAAAAGAGAAAACTAGAAGAAAAAAGATGGATTGTCATAAATTTTAAACTTCAAGATTACTATTTTTAAATTTTTCTAATCAAGCATGTTGCACTACCAACTAGTTATCAAACATTTAACGATATGTACCACTGACAAGTTCTAGAATGCTAAATAATAAACACTAATCTCTAAGAAATAATTTAAATAAGAGACATACAAGAAACATTTGGCCCATATGTAATCGTCCATATAGCAGCAGACTGTTCTTCTCCAACAAATATTATGCCTCTCCACTAACCAATCCATCTCTACCTTCACTGAATACTTAAAGACATGAGCTTAAGGCAATAATAATAAAGATATAAATGAGAGAGAAAATGTAAACTGTGTTGATTATCTGGCTTAATATTTAAAGTGCAAATGTTTTGAGACCTAAATAAATAAACAGGTAAAACAAAATCAGAGAAATATTTACCTGACAAGGTAGCCATTTATTTATGAGTACAGCAAATTATAGAAGTAAAGTATATACAACATATAGGCACAAAGGTTAGTAAAATAGCCTCAAAAGTTAAAGTTTATCTGTAAGAACACAACAGCAGATTGAACTAAGAATCCATTTAGCTTTGTACTACCCTCATAAGCATACCTCTATGACTGCAGGACTTTTTCTTCTTTAAATCAAAAAACATGTACTCAAAGGATCACTAGATTTCTTATTTCATATACATCTATCATTCATATGTTTATCTACACTATTCTTATACCTCCAGTTTTAGATAACAAGAGCATTTGGGGATAATCTCTTTCATATCATCTTCTTATGAAAAATATATTTTTTAAGTTTCAAGTTTTAACTCTTGAATGTTTAGAATTCAGTGACCAAGTCCATCCTTTACCTTTTCCATAACATATCCTGATCTATATAATGACAAAAACTATTTATAAAATCTGAATAAAATACTTAATCAAGCTAAAAGTTAGTTTACTGAAAAGGCTAATAAAACAGAGATTGCACAAGGAAAAAAATAAAAGGAGGCATAAATAATATTACAATAAAAAGTGAGGACATAACTATAGAAATAGCAGAGGTTAAAAATAAAAGTGAATAAAACTTTTGTGGGCTGAAGTGGATCAAGGGGGTAGAAGGGGGACAAATGTAATACTTTCAACAAATAAAGATTAAAAAATAATAAAACTTTTAAACAATAAATTTAAAAGACAAAATGGTCAAATTCTAAAGAAAAAAAATCTAAGAAAATTGATGAAAGAAGAAATTTAATCAAGATTTTAAAATCTTCCCACAAGAAATACAAAGCCTAGATAACTTTCCAGGTGAGTTTACTAAACTTTCAAGAGACCTAGCATTCAATCTTTTCCAAGGAATAGAAAGAAAAGGAGTTAAGAGCCTAGTATAAACTTAATTACAAAAATTAAACAGAGCCTGGCTGACGTGGCTCAGTGGTTGAGTGTTGACCTATGAACCAGGAGGTCACAGTTTAATTCCTGGTCAGGGCACATGCCCAGGTTTCGGGGTCGAACCCCAGTGGGTGCAGGAGGCAGCCAATGATTCTATCTCATCATTGATGCTTCTATCTCTCTCCCTCTCCCTTCCTCTCTGAAATAAATAAAAAATATATAAGAAAAAAATTAGCCAAAACCGGTTTGGCTCAGTGGATGGAGCGTCGGCCTGCGGACTCAAGGGTCCCGGGTTCGATTCCGGTCAAGGGCATGTACCTTGGTTGCAGGCACATTCCCGGTGGGAGATGTGCAGGAGGCGGCTGATCGATGTTTCTCTCTCATCGATGTTTCTAACTCTCTATCTCTCTCCCTTCCTCTCTGTAAAAAATCAATAAAAAAATATATTTAAAAAAAATAAAAAATAAAAAAAAAATAAAAATAAAAATGGGACACTTTAAAAAAAAAAAAAAGAAAAAAATTAAACAGAAACAGCAATAAAATGAAAACCACAGGTCAGTATCAATATCACAGATGCAAAAATTCTAAACAAATAGCAAACTAAATCTATCAGTATATATTTAAAAAATAATACATCAAAACTATGTTGGGTTTATTCTGGGGATGCAAACTTGATTTAACATTAAAAATATACTTTAGACCAGCAGTTCTCAACCTGTGGGTCGCGACCCCTTTGGAGGTCGAACGACCCTTTCACAGGGGTCGCCTAAGACAATCCTGCATATCCGATCTTTACATTACAATTCATAACAGTAGCAACATTACAGTTATGAAGTAGCAACGAAAATAATTTTATGGTTGGGTCACAACATGAGGAACTGTATTTAAAGGGCCAGAAGGATGAGAACCACTGCTTTAGACCAATGATACCTTGAACATACATATACAATTTTGATCCCGCTGAAGCCTCAGTCATGTAAAAAAAAATGGATAGTTTAAGACATATACCCACCAACAAGGATGGAAATAACAAAGGAGACACAACAAACTTTTGGAAGCTAGAAAGCAGATGAAAATAAATGACAACAGGCCCCATGAACTTCTTGAACTTATTCATAAGCAGGTAGATTCCTAGATACCCTTCCTGATACTGTATCTCTAGGCAGTTGCCCATTCCCTATCTCCTCAGCTTCTCAAGACTGAAAACTAGTTTTGAAAGGGGCTAAAGCAGAGGGTCTTTAGTTTGAGGCTTATCAGTAAAGTTGAATGCCTGTGAACATACAGGAACACAGTAATTCATGACCATATGCATACTAAATGCTCAATGAGTTTTCATATATGCTATCACCATCAAGACCAATATATAGAACATTTCTAGCACTCCCAAAAGACTTAGGATGCCATTTTAAAAAGGAAAACTTTCAGATAATTAGTTAAAAACAAAATAGATAAAAATGAAAAACTCAATAGAAGTATCAGATGAGGTTGGGAAAATCTCTCAGAAAATAGAACAAAGAGAAAATAGAAAAATCAGGGAAAAAACAGAGATCAGTCCATAAGTGGAACATCCACATAAAGAATAGGAAGACAGGGGTGAAAAATGTCAGTAAAGAATTTTAAAAATAACTTCTTAAAAATTTAAGAACAGGAATTTTCAGAATGCCACACCTATGCATGTCACTGTGAAATTTCAGAACACTGGTGACAAATAAATATACAAAGTTCAGAACACTGGGAGGAATCCTATCTAATAAAAGAGTAATATGCAAATTAACCATCACACCCTCACTCCATCAGTCCATCACAAAGATGGCAGCGACCACGGAACTGGAGTGAGCAGGAGGCTTAGGTTGCCCCTGGCGATGGAGGAAGCCAAGCTTCCCGCCTGCCCTGGCCAGCCCTGAGCTCCGCTCAAGGCTACAAAGTTTCAATTATAGAAGATAAATAAATCCCAGATACCTGCTTCCAGCTGGCCTGGCCTCCGCTCAAGGAGGGGCTGGGAACATGGGTTGCCAGGGGCAACCCAGGCTTCAGGCCGGGACCAAGGCTACAAAATTTCAATTATAGAAGTTAAATAAATCCCAGATACCTGCTTCCAGCCCGGGGCCATGGCCAGCCTGAAAATAACCATCAGCCCCTCACCCAGGCTGGCCAGGCACCCCAGCAGGACCCCCTACCCTGAAGGGGGTGTCGCCAGCCTGAAAACAGCCCTCAGCCCCTCACCCAGGATGGCCAGGCACCCTAGCAGGGCCCCAACCTTGATCCGGGACACCCTTCAGGGCAAACCAGCCAGCCCCCACCCATGCACCAGGCCTCTATCCTATATAATAAAAGGGTAATATGCAAATTGACCCTAACAGCAGAACGACTGGGAATGACCGGTCACTATGAAACACACTGACCAGCAGGGGGCAGACGCTCAATGCAGGAGATGCCCCCTGGTGGTCAGTGCGCTCCCACAGGGGGTGCTCTGCTCAGCAACAAGCCAGGCTGACAGCTGCCAACACAGCGGTGGTGGCGGGAACCTCTCCCGCCTCCTCAGTAGCGCTAAGGATGTCCGACTGCAGCTTAGGCCTGCTCCCCGCTGGCAAGTGGACATCCGCCGAGGGCTCCCAGGCTGCCAGAGGGATGTCTGACTGCCAGCTTAGGCCAGATCCCCTGGGGAGTGGGCCTAAACCAGCAGGTTGACATCCCCCGAGGGGTCCCAGACTGCAAGAGGGCACAGGCTTGGCTAAGGGACCCCCCCCCACAAGTGCAAAAATTTTTGTGCACCGGGCCTCTAGTAGATAACATAAAACAGGTAACAAAAGAAACGGCAATCAGAAAGGCTTCAGAATTCTCAGCAGCAACACTGCAGGCTAACAGATAATGGAACAATGTCCTCAAAGTTGTGGAGGAAAATTATGTCCAAACAAGAATTCTGGCCCAGAAAAACAAAAAGAGCCATTCAAGTATTAGTGTAGAATGAAAACATTTTAGAAATGCCAATTCTCAAAAATGCATCTCCTGTGGCCCTAACCGGTTTGGCTCAGTGGATAGAGCGTCAGCCTGTGGACTAAAGGATCCCACGTTCGACTCTAGACAAGGGCACATGCCCGGGTTGCAGGCTCGATCCCCAGTAGGGGGCCTGCAGGAGGCAGCCAATCAATGATTCTCTCTCATCATTGATGTTTCTATCTCTCTCCCATCCTCTCTGAAATCAATAAAAATATATATTTTTTTAAATGTACCTCTCGTGTACTTTTTCATATGGAGCTACCAAATGTCCTCAAACAAAACAAGATGTAAACCAAGAAATAGTAAGACATGAGGTACAGAACAACAGAAGATCCAATTCACCCGAGAAACAAAGGCAATCTCCAGGTTACCAGGAGAGGAAAATCCCAGGCTGACAGGGACACATTACAAGGAGTAGTAGAATCAGGCAGGGACTGCTATTTTTCAATCAGCCACCATATGAAGCTTTTTGATTGTTATATACAGTAGAACTTTATTAACAACACACTTTACATTTAAAGACAATTTTTTAAGAAAGGGAAAAAAAATGAGACTAGCCATGAGTCTACAAAAATTTTTTTCTTTCAAAATAATTTAGATGACTGAGTTTTTATTCACTAAAAAACACACGTTCACAAAACAGCACACAAACACAAAAGGAGTGTTTAAGTGGCCAAAATGCTTCGAGACACCCACTTTAATAATTAATTAGGAGAAAAGTTAAAAGAAATGTATACCAGGTAGAGAGCTCTGGTAAAGTTATAAAAGGTTCTGAGACTGAATATAGCAGGATCAGGAACATACCTCAAATCTAAATACTTGAATTTTCCTTTGTCTCCAAGTACAGTTGAACTATGGTTCCATGTAAAAAGGTTAATCTAAAATCGTATACTCACCTTTTCATAAGGTAGACATTTACCCCTGTGCCATAGCCAAGCTTCTGCATAAACGGAGAGGCAGGAATTTTTATACATGGAGTTGAACATAACGCTAAGTGTCAGAAAGAATTAAAAATTAGTATTTGAAAAGACTTCTACAAATGCATCTGAACATTTGCAATACACTATTGTTAAGAGTATTAATTGGCATAATCTTTTGGAGAGCAATTTGACACTATCCACCCTAATTTTAAATGGAGACCCCTTGGTCAAGTCTACTTTTGGAGTTCTATCTTACAGTAACACTGAAGCTTGATTTTATATGGTCCAGAAGTTAAGAAATGTTTTTGAAAGTGTTGATTAAAAAAAACACACACAAAAAAACAGGTAAAATAAGAATATACAATAGTGTTTCTGGGTGGCCAACAAAGTCTAAAGTCTAAACTATTTACTATCTGGCCCTTTACAAATAGTTTGCCAACACCTCAGTACAGCATGTGCCCAAAGACATCATACACATACATGTATGCAAGCATATATATTTGAATACTAGAGGCCCAGTGCACGAATTTGTGCACCAGTGGGGTCCCTCGGCCTGGCCTGTGGCATCGGGCCGAAACCAGCTCTCCGACATCTCCTGAGGGGTCCCAGATTGCGAGAGGGCGCAGGTCAGGCCGAGGGACCCCACCGGTGCACAATCAGGGCCGGGAAGGAATGTGGGAGGTTGGCCAGCTGGGGAGGGACTATGGGAGGGCTCTAGGGCATGTCTGGCCCATCTCACTCAATCCCAATCAGCCGGACCCCAGCAGCAAACTAAGGGAGGGCTCTAGGGCATGTCTGGCCCATCTCACTCAATCCCAATCAGCCAGACCCCAGCAGCAAGCTAACCCCTGGTGGTTAGTGCATGTCATAGCAAGTGGTCGACCAGTCAACTATCTGCCCCCTGGTGGTCAGTGCACATCCTAGCGAGCAGTTGAGCTGCCTAGCATATCATTATCATATTATGCTTTGATTGGTTGAACGGCCGACCGGTTGACCGGACACTTAGCATATTAGGCTTTTATTATATAGGATTGGGATTCACTTTTGTGGCTGCAGAAAAACACACAAAAACACCCCTTAGTAATAATCATTGGTCATAATTATAGTACATCTATATTACAAAGCATTATACAGTCATAAAAAAAGATAAAATATAGAAGTCTTACTTTTGCTAGTGAATAATTAACTGCCCTTGGAATTGCCATCTAGAAAACTTGACAAAATATAACAGTTTTCATATACCTGACAATAGGCAGAGCAGGATTGTGATCTTTGAGAGAAGAGAAACAAATGGGGGGATCCCTATCGTTACCCTAACTTACTACTAAAAAGCAGTTTCTAGCCAAAGCACAAAGAAACAGAGCTCAGAGGTCTTGTCAAGTTGAGGAGAGAGACGTCATAGGTCAAGGAAACCTAAATAGCTAGAATTTATGGAGCAGAGAACTAAAGAAGCCACAAAATAAGAAAGCTCCAGAGATCTAAAAAGAGATCTCCCTTTAAGCATTTGACTAAATACTTTCTGTACATATAATGGACATGATTCCCCAAAGCTGAAGAAACCACCAAACCCAAGTAATAGGCTAAATCATGATGGGAGATTACACAGGTCTAGGAATAGTTCACTTACCATCAGCCAGAGTGTGGTAACTCTAACACAGGGCATTGAGTAAAGTCCTCTAAAGCAGTGGTTCTCAACCTTCCTAATGCCGCGACCCTTTAATACAGTTCCTCATGTTGTGGTGACCCCCAATTTCATTGTTACAAATTGAACATAATTAAAGCATAGTGATTAATCACAAAAACAATATGTAATTATATATGTGTTTTCCAATGGTCTTAGGCGACCCCTGTGAAAGGGTTGTTCGACCCCCAAAGGGGTCGCGACCCACAGGTTGAGAACCGCTGCTCTAAAGGGTCATGACTTAGTAGTACAGCTAAATTTTAGCCTAAGGAAAAAGTTTAGAACAAAGCCTAAAAGCAAGACTCAAAAGAAAAAAGCCAATGTGCAGGAAACTTAACTGCAGGTTCAGCACAACAAAATCACACACCCTTCAAAGGAATGAAGTTCGGCACTTGACAATGTAAAATCTCTCACAGCCAATAAAAAATTACCAGGTATGAAAGAAGCAAGAAAATATGACCCTTTCCAGGAGAAAAATAAACCAATAGAAACATACAGATATAGAAGTAGCAGATAAAAGCCTTAACATATAAATCTTAAAAAATACACTAATGATGTAAAGGAAAATGTGAGCATAACAAATTAAGACAGAAAAATAAAAAAAGATCCTAATGAACTTAGAGAAATGAAAAATACAAAGGACAAGAATGATACCATCTTAGAGCAAAAGGTCACTAAATTTTAAGACAAAACAACAAAAAATATCAAAAATGATGCACAGCCCTACCTGGTTTGGCTCAGTGGATAGAGCATCAGCCTGCGGAATGAAGGGTCCCAGGTTCGATTCCAGTCAAGGGCACATGCCTGGGTTGCAGGCTCGATCCCCAGCAGGGGGCATGCAGGAGGCAGCCGATCAATGATTCTCTCTCATCATTGATGTTTCTATCTCTCTCTCTCCCTCTCCCTTCCTCTCTGAAATCAATAAAAATATATTTTTTAAAAAAATGAAGCACAGAGAAAAATATTAGGAAGAAAAATAAAGATATCGCCAATTTGCTATGGACAATAAAAAAATAGATTTAAATCCAACCATAGAGAATTACATTAAATGTAAATGGTCTATACAGTGTTATCCAATAGAATTTCTGTCATGATAGAAACGTGACTAGTATAACTAAGAAACTAAATTTATAATTTTATTTAGTTTTAATTCATTTGAATCTAAATTTAAATAGCCACATGTAGACAGTGACTAAACAGTCATATATAAGGCAGAAGTTGACATGATAAAACCAAAACAAGACATAAGTAACTACATGCTGTGTAATAAACTCACTTTAAATATAAAGACACAAATAGGTTAAAAGTAAAGGGTTGTAAAACATAATATTCAAACACTAATCAAACTGGAGTGGTTCAATTAATATCACATAAAGTGAACTTAGAAGAGAGTACAACATCAGATAAATAAAAACAATTCATATCAGTAAGGGGGTAAATTCATCAAAGAATAACCTTCCTAAATGTATATGTACCTAATAACAAGTTTCAAAAAATGTAAAACAAGTGATAGAATGGAAAGAAAAAAATAGACAAATCGAGCCCAGTTGATATGGCTCAGTGGTTGAGCATCAACACATGAAATAAGAAGTCACTGGTTCCATTCCCAGTCAGGGCACATGCCTGGGGGTTGTGAGCTTGATCCCCAGTGTGGGCGTGTAGGAGGCTGCCAATCAATGTTTCTCTCACTGATGTTTCCCTCTCACTTCCTCTCTCTCTGTAAAAACATGTTTTAAAAAATAGACAAATCCACAATTGTAGTTGAAAATACACCTCTCTCAGTAACAGAATAGACAGAAAATCAATAGGGATACAGAAGACCTGAACTTGTTCAACATAAGTCAACTAGATTGGCCTCATCGATATTTATGTAACACTATACCAAAAAACAGCAGAAAATGTGATCTTTTCAATTGCATGAAACATTCACCAAGATAAACTGATCAAGGAAGAAAAATCAGTACCAGAAATCAAAAAGATATCACCACAGACCCTGCTGACATTACTGACATTAAAAGGATAATAAGAGTATGTCATAAATAACTTTATGCCCATAAATTTGACAACTTAGAATAAACAAATTCCTTGAAAAACACTAACAAAGTTTACACAAGAAGAAATAGATAACTCGAATAGCCCAATATCGATTAACTGTGAAGTCACAGTTAAAATCTTCCTATAAAGAAGATTTTAGTACTCATTGATTCCAAGGCTAAGGATGGGAAAAAAGTAAGTATTACTCTGGAGAGCTGTAGCTAAACATCCAGGAAAACTAGACAAATTTAGGACTCAGTTCAATTCATAGGTAAAAAATAAAATTTCAAAACAATTGGAGATTTAAAATGGCAGCAGAGTAGGAGGATGCTGCATGGACATGCTCCCAGGAACAAGCTGGAATTGCAAGTGAAATACGGAAAGGCTTCCTGAATAATCAATAGAAAACTCACAGGAGAGAACCCTGATACCCAAGGACCAAAAGTGGAGACCGCATAGAGACTGGTAGGAGGGGCAGAGGCGCTAAAGGACTGGTGGGGCACCCACAGATGGCAACTGAAGTCCCAGAGAGATATCTCAGTTGTGGGGGGGTGCCACTGAGAACTCTGGGATCTAATCCCGAAGTTGGGCTCCCTAGCAGAGAGCACCAAAACTGAGGAGGGTACCCACATCTAGCTGTGAAAAGCAGTGGGATGTTGTCTGCCAAGGAGTGGCAGCTAAAAGTTCGGGCACCCTCTTAAAGAGCCAACGCACAAAAATTCCCTGAGCCACCCACCTTGTGCTCTGGCAGAGGGACGGTGAAGTGGACTGGAGCTGTGAGAGCAGAACCTAGACTGGAGACTTGGGGGATAGAGCTCAGAAGGCAGACACCCCAAGTTTCCTGGGCTGTGTAATTCCCTCACACTGTGGAGGACATCTTTCCCACATAGACATCTGCCTTGCCTTGGGGGAAGAATCTTGCCACACCTGAGGACCATTGCCTGGCTGGGGGCAATTCAAGTCGGAATCCTATTAGTCTGCGGACAGAGGCAGTCTCTGGAGGTTTGGAGTCTTTGCCTAATCCAATTAGTCAGAAACAACCTTTAACACTATCCTGCACTAGAGATTGAGAGGTATAGAGGATCTACCTAAAACATAGTCACAAACCCAAAGAGACAACCAAAATGAGGAAACAAAGAAAGAACCCCCAAATGAAAGAACTAGCGAATTCTCCAGAAAAAGAGATAAATAAATGAAAGAGATAAGAAATTTATCTGAAACCGAATTCAGAGTAATGATGTTAAAAATGCTCAACAAGCCCTAACCGGTTTGGCTCAGTGGATAGAGCATCAGCCTGCAGACTCAAAGGTCCCAGGTTCGATTCCGGTCAGGGGCATGTGCCTTGGTTGCGGGCACATCCCCAGTGGGGAGTGCGCAGGAGGCAGCTGATTGATGTTTCTCTCTCATCGATGTTTCTGGCTCTCTATCCCTCTCCCTTCCTCCCTGTGAAAAATCAATAAAATATATTAAAAAAATAAAAATAAAAATGCTCAACAATATGAAAAAGATATAGTAACTAGGAAAAAAGAACAGTCTGAGATAAAGAATGACATAACACAAATAAAGAACACATTGGAAGGAATACACAGCAGATTAGGGGAAGCTGTGGATCGAATCAGTGAATTAGAAGATAGAGTTGAAAATATCACTCAATTAGAGAACCAGAAAGAAAAAACAATTAAAAAACAGGACAGCCTAAGGGAGCTGTGGGACAATGTGAAACGTAACAATATTAGAATAGTATGAATGCCAGAAGAGGCAGAAAGGGAGAAAGGAATAGAGAAGGTGTTTGAAGAAATAATGATAGAAAACTTCCCTAACCTGGAAAAGGAAAAAGTCACACAAGTTCAGGAGGCACAGAGAACACCAAACAAGAAGAACCCAAACAGACCCACACCCAGACACATCATAATTAAAATGCCAAAAATTAAAGACAAAGGGAGAATTTTAAAGACAGCAAAAGAAAAGAAAGTTGTTGCCTACAAAGAAGTTCCCATAAGGCTGACACCTGATTTCTCATCAGAAACTCTACAGGCCAGAAGGGAATGGCATGAAGTACTCAAGGTAATGGAAAGCAAGGATCTGA